GAAGTTTACAGACGGACGGACGGACAGACAGCTAGACGGACAGACGGACGACAGACAAAATGTGATCAGAAGGCTCTGGTGAGCTAAAAATGAGCTTAACATAGCTTCACAGTTGATAAACTAGGTTTATCGACGGTAAACTATAGTGTACAAACCGTGAACTATAGTTTACAATTCGTAAACCATAGTTTTCATCTGTAAAACTATATTTAACGGCTGTTAACTATAGTTTACGAATGCTAATCTAAGTTTATCTGTCTGTAATAAAACGTAACAATAGATTTTGTTGATAAACATAGATTCACGTCTGTAAACTATAATTTACAATCGTGAACTATAGTTAAGAGTTGTTAGTCATAGTTTCACAAATCAGATCGTTACCTATAGTTAAGAGTTGTAAACCATAGTTTACAAATCGTGAAACTGTATTTATCGGATAATCTAAGTTTTGCAATCGCAAATGAGTGTTTTCAGTGTTAAGTATAGTTTACAGTTCTGAAACACAGATTATCGCGTTAACTATGGTTTACAGATGTAAAATATAGATTAGCCTTGTTATCTATAATTTACAGTCTGTAAACTATAGTTTACAGCCGATAAACCTAGTTTATCGACTGTGAAGCTATGTTTAGCTCGTTTTTGTGAATTTGGAGTGCCACACATATCATATGTTTGAATCTCCTAATTGGTACAGTAGAGAACTGCCAAAAAGAAACCCCCCATTTTCCTAGTTTCGAATCGATTTCTAAATATCGAATCAAGTGCCCTCTATTGTTGCTGAGTTATTTTAGAATGAAATTTGCTGATCGAAATTATTGTAAAAAAAATTATGCCATTAGGAAAATTTTACATAAAATGTATTAGCATTTCTTGTTGATTTAAATAATTATTTTCTCTAAAATAAAACAATATGAAAAATGTTGCATTTTATGAGAAACTTTAAGTGATATGCTTTATAACCAGAAGTCTAGACTGAAGCTCTACTGGTTTGTTCATATAGCAAAGGAAGAGAAAAGTACTTAAGCAGTTGGGAATTAAAACTTTACAGCAGCAATAAATAGAATAATGATCCTTGATTAAGTCTCTTTATGTTCTTAGTTAAGGAATAACTGTCTTATTTTTCGATTTCATGATGTGATCAATCGATTGGGTTGCGTGATAATTCGGCGTTTATGCATAAAATTATCACGCAAGCCAATCGATTGATCATCTTCATGAAATTGAAAAATCTGACAGTTATTCCTTATATTTACATGCTTTGATTCCGCCAATCCACGTGCCCCAAACCCTGCATGTTTCTGTCTAACTGTTTGTTTCGCCCTGCACGTGGATTTTTTTGGAATCGCGCCAATACATTGATGGGAAAATAAAGTACATTTACAATTTGTAATTTTATCTCGGACAAAGACATTGGGAATGTAAATATTGTAGTCTACTTGCATGCCACATTATATTATAATCAGACTAAAACTGTATTTGGAATAACATTTTGAGAGTATTTAACAGAAATGTCCATTTTTAGTAACCAAGGCAACACCGTTCATTGAAGTCAAAAACCGATATACAGAATTATGTACCGTAGTGTAGTCTACTTGTGTGTCTAGTTATATTGAAATAAGACCAAAACTGTAGGAGGAATAGCATGTTGAAAGAATTTCACAGAAATTTCTATTTTTAGTAACCACGGCAATACCGTTCATCGAAATCAGAAACCGATACAAAGAATTTTGTATCTAAGTGTAGTTCACTTGTGTGCCAAGTTATATTGAAATCAGACCAAAACTGTAGGAGGAGTAGCATTTTGAAAGTATTTCACAGAAATTTCCATTTTTAGTAACCACGGCAACACCGTTCATCGAAATCAAAAACCGATACACAGAATTATATATCGTAGTGTAGTCTATTTGTGTGCCAAGTAATTTCTATTTTTATCAACCACAGCAACGCCGTTCATCGAAATCAAAAACCGATATACAGAATTATGTATCTTAGTGTAGTCTACTTGTGTGCCAAATTATATTGAAATAAGACCAAAACTGTAGGAGGAGTAGAAAATATAAAAATTGTTTACAGACAAAAAGACAGACAGACGGACGGATGCCGGACGCATTACTATCGCATAAGCTCTTCTGAACTCTGACCAGTAGAGCTAAAAATTAAATCAGCCATCTCTGAGACATAATTTTCATAGAATAGTTTTGCATGTAAATTGTTTTTATTTTTTTTTTCACTTCTGTTAGTATTGCTTGTTTTTGCATCCATTAAAAGGGCATTTTTTTGTTCTTCGAAATTTTATAATTCGTAACTAAGAAAATAACACGTAATTAGATTGTATGTTCAAAATTCATTCAAAAGTCATTTTTTATATAATATTCTATCTTGTTATATTTATCATAAATATTGATTACATACTCTAACTGGACCGACAACATATCGAAATTTTTGATTTATAGACGTATTTGTTTTTTGTCACTTTCTTTTTCTTTTACTTGTACTTGCGCTTGACAAAATCTAGGTCATTGTTTCAAATGTTTCAAATTGTAAATACTTTGAAAAATAATCACGTAGATATATTAAAAAAAAAACACAGGGGTATAATAGTTATCCTTTTATTATATTTACCTAGTACGATTTAAACCTTCGGGAATATTTAAATTGAGAAAAAAAAATCGATACTGGCGATAAAGATAACTTACCTTTTCCTTCTCAATAGAAGCTTTGAAAACTGACACTTTCACTTTCTTGTAATTCGTAACACATTCGGCCTCAGAGGAAAGATCGTCACTTTCTTCATTATCTTAATCATGAAAAATAAGTTAAATATATAGCATTGCTGTAGTTTGTTTTCAAACAAAATATAATATATACATTTGTAATTGTAGGTTAATTATATTTTTGTTCATTTAAAAAGTGGTCTTACTTCTTTAATTGATTGATGCATTCTCTAAGTATCAGAAAATATGAACTCTTAAGAGAATATTCTGTATTTCAACACATCGATATAGTTTTAGAATTCACCAACATCATCTCTAACAGGTACGGAAGCGTATTAGGACCGTAGCAATATCTTTTAGCAATTTGTTATAACAAATAAGTAATTTGTTATAGCATATTAATAATTTGATTTAATAAATTAATAATTTGTTATAACAAATTAATAATTTGTTATACAAATGAATTAATAATTTGTTATAACATGTTATTAATTTGCTACAACAAATTACTAATTTGTTTTACTAATTTGTTTAAACAATTTACTAATTTGTTTTAAACAAATTAAAAAAAGATACTGCTGCAGCCCTAATACGCTTCAGTAAACAGGTTATTTCTACATCGAAAAATAACATCTCAGGTAACTGTAGAGGCCTTTGGCCTGTAAATGTCACTGAAACTTGGATATAGCAAAACCCCTTACATTAAAATTACTATATGCGAGCCTATATATACACTTAATTACATTGACATTCGTTTAAAAATAGAATTCAACCAAAGCTCTAGATCTGATTTAATTCAAAATTTAAATGTCATTCTTTTTTATATTACAAATTTACGTACAAATATTGATATTATGTGACTAACAAATGAATTAGTCTTACCTTCAACTGTTTCGTACGAATCAGAATCTTCCGAAGACAAGGAAATGTCTTTGTCTGACATTTTTATTAAACAGAAAGTAGAACTTTAATACGCAGGTATTTCCTATACAACTACTTCTATCTAAATATAAAAGCCGGTAATTTTCAAATGACCTTCAAACACTAATCTGAAAACACTACTGACATATTTCACTGTATTTATGATTAAATAAAATTTTAAAAAAAGTAACATGGCATAAAATTCTATTAAAATTGTAGTAATGAATAAAAGTAACTTTATTTATAGTCGGATTATATATACAATTTCTTAAACTTGTACATTTATCAGTCTCTTATTGGTGTTTATAAACAAGAACAAAAACTATAAATTAAACCAACAAAAACGATGTACACTGTATTACACTCTAACATAAGTGATGAGGTATTCCGGATAGTTCTGATAGCGATTATACGTCACAAACTCTCGGAATATCCAGGCTCCATCGCCGACCACACTATCACAGCGCTGAATCTCGGAATGTGCACAGGAATCGGACTCGCAGCCGGACTGGAAGCAGGGAGGTCTTCGGAGATTTGGTTTGGGATGCCTTGCTACATGTATTCTACCAAGGCAAGATCTCACCAGAAACATTTTCTTCTCGCCTTTCGTTCTGTCATCTTTGTGATCTGAAATCAGATCTCTACTTAGAATTCTGGCTCCAAGGCCGTAAACCGAGAATAGACTTAAGCAAAATTTTGATACTGCTTGAATCGCACATGAGTTTAAAAATTTTCAGGTTTGTGTGACATTCAAATGCAAACAGAAAAAAACTTTATTATAATTCTTTTTCAAGCTTTATTGATTTTAAGTCTATCTCAGTTTAAGCTTCGAAGCCTATAACAGTTTGGAAGTGTTCGAGAAAAATATGGGTAAATCTGTTTTGAGTAGATAAAAGAACTAGTAAAACCCCAAAGCGCACCATAATAGAGAAAATTAAGTGATGCATTTAAACAATATTCAACTGATTTTCCCAAGCAATATACTTTATTAGGCCATATATATAGCAACTTTTGAAACAACTGCCATTACTTTTTCGTATGACTGACGTTTTTCATGAAACAACTGCCATTACTTTTTCAAATGACTGACGTTTTTCATACAAATTGTAAGGCCGTTATTTCCACACTTCATTGTCTTCGGATTTTCCCCTTTAATTGGCCAAGTTATTGAGCCCACGGCGGACAACAGGGGTGTTCATTCCTCTATTGCACCTGATCCCATCTCTAATGTTTGCTTTATTTGCTTCCAATGTGTACTTTGGAGCTTGATTACAGAACGTTTTATGCTAGTACTCATTTCATACAAAATTAATTTGAAAATATAAACCTTTGAAAAAAATTATAAAACCTTTGTTGAATTTACGAAAATACTTTATTTCTTTAATTAAAGATTTGCCATTTCTTTACTGTTATGTACCTGTGTACTGGTCTGCCTTCGTTGGACTCTCGGCAAGATACACCCCTTGACCAAACATGCCTTTATTATCAGACATGCTAATATCTAAACCATTCAAAAGAATATTTTTGTACGTTTCGGTTTTTGTTCCATGAAAAAGAAAGTGTTCATTAGCCTCTTCTGGGTACTGATCGCTTCTCAGGACTGGATCCCTACCCATTATTTCCGAGGTGAGTACATTTATCATACTTGGTGAAAGTTCACTCAGTTGTTTGAAAACTCCATTTCTTCCTGCCTTCTGAAAAAGGTATGCCCGAAAATATGAATATTTTTCGTACAAACAAATGTTTTCGAGCCTCTCCACTTTTAAAACCTTTATACTAGAGTAGTTGAGGTCCGCCAGTCCCTCGGCGTCTCTTCCATGTCCAACCATCTGTGGTACCCACGTGGATAAAACCAGTTTCTCTATAGTTTGTCGTGTCGCTGCATCGACGTCAACCAGTCTGGCGTAGAGATTCAACTTCATTTCTATTAACCACGTATACCATGACTGTAATGAATACAGCAACAAAAAATTTCATTCATCAAAAAGCCATAAAAATTAGGAAATGATATGAAATGACAGATAAGGTTTTCTTCTCCCTTTCTTAATTTCGTCTACCCATCGCCTAATTTATCTATCCCTTTCATACAAAAATACCTTTCTTAATTCTTATATCTTTTTTTTTTCAAGCTTGACATTACGTTATATTAAACTGAATTGAATTAATTTATGGTGATTTCCCTTATTTTTTTCCCATGTAGATAGAAGCGGTTAATTATACTTTGTTGACATCCTTGATGGTTCTGCGGGCTGTAACTGTTGTCCAGTATTCCGGTAGTTGAGGTTCTTTGAGGGACAATTCACGACAAAACTCGAGTATCACAGGGGTAGCTGAAGCTCTCTGGAATTTTTTGCATTCTCCTCTCATTGCCTGTAAAACGTTATTAGAATTTCAGTGTTTATCTCTCCCACCCCCTCTCTCTCTCTCTGTCTTTGTGTATGTGTTTATGTGTGGGTGTGACAAACCATGGTAAACTTACTTTAGCTATTTCTGAGTATCGTCCATCAGTTTCTGGTACAACCACTGTCAAATTCATAGTAGTCTTTTGAAAGCTTAAAAAGTCATTCAGTGCTCCAAATATCGCATTTGACACAATCTTTGGCGGTGCATTATATTTGGACTTGTGCAGCATGAAGACAATGGAACTTATCTTTGCCCTATTCGCTTCCGTCAAACAATTAAACACTGCCTCACCAATATCCTAGCATCAAAAAAAATAATTTAAAAAAATATATGATTCGAAAATATTGTTTTGAAAGCTGTTCAGTTTATTTTCATGTTTACACAATGTAAGTAATCAGTTCTATGAAGGATAAAAACACAAGAATCAGTGAAAGAGGAAAGAAAATTTAAGACGCATATTGTTAGAACGTCGTCTCACCTTCCTTATAAAATGTGGATCGTTTTTTCTGTATTGTAACACATAGGTATGATAAATTTTATTTTTATCGAATTGTTTGGAATAAACAATTTCCATATCCCCGTCTGTCATCAAGGAGAGATGGTGAATATCATTTTCAACATGTTTGGTGCGAGTGGTAACATCAAGTGAAGCTGATCCAACAAAGTTGACCACCATGTTGAATTTAGCTTTTTCATCTTCATCTATGCCAGCTTTCACCAGGATTGAAATTTCCCCTATTTTACAGCTGCATACTCTTCTAAGGATTTCTGTGGCTGTTTATTTATATATTTTTTAAATACAGGTTAAAACCATTACCCGGTATTGTATATCAAAGACAAGTTAAGAAAAAAAGAGTACCTTCTTGCTGGTCAAGACCCAATGTTTTAACAGCATCTGCAAATGCCTATAAAGTAAAAACATTAGAAATTAATAGTACCTTTTTATGAATAAGCCCGAGTCTGTGTATATTGCGTCATTACTTTCAGAGAGGGATGCTATGGATTCAGAAACCATAATGTGGCGATATGAAAGTCGGTTGACGTCACAAGATTGCGTGAAATCAAGAGAAAAACTAATCGATCATAAAAAAAGCCCTTTGAATTTCATATCAGCCCTGCAGGTTGCACATCAGCCCTAGAAGCTGATACAGGTAATGTGATGTTAGTGAATACAAACATGCAATAAAAACGTGAATTTTTTTTTTCTAAGGCAGTTATAAATGTATGTATAGATTCTTATCTTCGCAAGATTTTGTAAAACAGTAAATATCTCGCAATAAGAACTGATTACTTGAATGGTTTCTTCGTCGCTGTGGTGTATGACAAAGTGGACCTCTTTAAGTGTTGTTTCGGGATTTTCGTCTTTATATTTCTCCACGGCACGGCACGCGTTTCTTGCCGCCAGATCCCTGGGGAACTTCAGGAATCCCGTAGTCAGAGCTGGGAGAGCTATAGTGGAGAATCCTTGTCTATCCAGCTCTGCCAGGCAGTTAGAAATAAACTGCATATGTACCTACCAAAAAGAAGACAGAATATCATCACTATGTTGCCATAAAGAAAAACAATGTGTTTATGAAATGATAACAATGTATACTGATGTCCTTGTATGGCAGCTTGTAGCGAGGGTTGAACTTTCTCATATGCAAGTCAAATTCCGAGGTCAAAATTGTGGGCATCCAAAAGGAGGACTTGTCATAAGGAGTAAACCTGTGAAAACTCTATAGCTCTAGTTATGACCAAGGTAAAATTGTTTAAAAAATTGGACAAACTCTATGGTCAATGTCAAAAATATTTATAACCATTGAAAGGTCTAGTCACAATGAATACAAATGTGAGCTATGAAAGCCCTAGCACCAACTGTTCAAAGGTTTGGCCAAGATTAAAGTCTTGTAATTTGGATAAAGTTAGCCAAACTCTAGGATGAAGAGGTCAAATTTGGAAGTAGAAAAATGAAAGGTCTTGTCAAAAGGAATACACCTGTGAAATATAAAATCCATAGATCCACACACTCAAAAGTTATGGGCAAGGAAAAAAATTCTGCGGACAAACAAACAGATTAACGAACAAATAGAAAAACAAACGGAAAGATAGTGCAAAAACTATAGTCCCCTGAATAATCTCCGATTACAGAGGCATAAAAACTAACCTCTTCTGCAAGACTATCTCCGTATCTTGCAAGGGAGCCGTGACAAATGATTTTGCACTTAAGTCTTCCTGGACCTGTGACTGCTACATCGCCCTTTCCGACTCCTTTCGGATATTTTTCAGCACACTCATCTTGAATATCTCGTCCTGCTGCGTCTAATAGTGCCCTGGAACACTGTCCGAATGTTAGTTTCAGGTTTTCTGACGTGCTGTTTACTATCACGTCAACCTAACACGAACAGAAAAAATACTAGTAAGTAAAAATTACATGAAAGGTTTTTATTTGGAATCCTCTAAAGAGAAACTCTTGAGATATACAGACCTATGCTCTAAAACCATTAAACCCAATTTAACAAATCATTCAAAGGATAAGTTGCAAATAATGTTACAGAAATTCTTGTAACTAAATAATAAAGAGAAAAGCGTCAATATTTCACCCGTATCGCTCCAATGATGGAAAAAAAATGAAATGGCTAAGTACTGTAAATATAGTAAAAGGAGTTCAGGGAATCAGCCCGAACGCCCACATGTTGAATACAGAAATTCCCGAACCCACCATTGATATCCAAAAGATGATTTGGTAACTGGAAAAATTGTAAGAGGAACCAGGCTTTTTTCGCAAGGGCGAAAAACCTCAAAATCTTATTGCATGATTAGAGGATTTCCTCCCATTAAGCACATTCCAAACTAGAGGTACTGTGAGCGATGAACTCACTAAATGATACTCTCATATGAATAAAATGTTTTTGCTGTGGAAAACTCAAAATATGTGACGGATCAAAAGGTAAACTAGGAGGTGCACAATGGCAATATATGATAAAGATTTTGTGAAAGTTTCATTAAATTTCATTCAGTGGTATGAGAGGAGTTGCGGATAAGAGATGGGTACCACAAAGCTTAAAGGTACTTGGACACAGATTTGAAGTTAATTTTTTCTGTATAATATCACGAATTATATATTTTAATAGCATTTCACACAAAAATTATTTAAAAATCTTAATTCATTAAAAAGATATTAAAACTTTTAATTTTTTGGCGGGTTTGATTGACACATCTTGCACTTTCACAAATTTTAACTTTATTCATAATCTTTAGGAAAAGTGGCAATCTTGTTGTGTATTATTGAGAAATATTAAAACTTAAATCCAGAAAAATAATTTTATTCAGAGTAAAAATGTTAGAAAGCAAAACTCTTTCACAAGTATCGTCATTCCGTTGTGTACAGAGTTTAGCAAATCGAGCACACTCGTGTTATGTACACAGTTTTTGTAAACAAGGCAAGAGTCTGTTATTGTTTAATGTTTACGATTCACCGGGTGCGTTTAAACGCCAAAGTCTGCTCACCACAACTACATGGACTGACAATATATTGTGTGTTTGTTTTGCTTTCGAACATGTAGACCTACTCTGAATTTTCTGGATTATAGTATTAATATTTTTCATGAATACACAACAAGATTGCCATTTTTCCATAGGATTAAGAATAAAGTTAAAATTTGTGAAAGTGCAAGGACGTGTCAATAAACCCGCCAAAAAAAATAAAAATTTTAATAACTTAGAAATGAAATAAGATTTTTAATTAATTTTTGTGTGAAATGCTATTAAAATATATAAGTCGTAATATTATAGAGAAAAAATTAACTTCAAATCTGTGTCCAAGTACCTTTAACAGACGAACAGACAGACGGACGGACATACCGATTAGTATATAACCTCTCGCTTTTCAAGCGGGGGGGATAATGGTTCTTTTTACACACTAGTAAATTTGGCCCCAGAGTAAAAATTAAAATTTTAAAAATCTATTGCAGATGTTCATAGCTCCATTAATGATATTTTAAAAGGTGCTTGAATGTAAGAGTCGTTGTTGGAAGAAGATGTGTAACAGATAGACCGACGGACGGAGCAGAAGAACAATTTTATATCCCAAGTCGCCATAGAGAGTGCGGGTATAAAATGATTACCGGTATCCGTGGTGTTCCGGCAATATAGAAAACGGCTTAATGCATTCTTCGTCGGATTTGCCTAGTGTTAAAGATTCCTCAATTTTATTTGGTGCTGTTATGTAATTTTTGGATAATGTTACAATTTTGTCGATTTCCTTTGTAACGGGCGAGTCGAACTTTTTTTCCTGTCAAATCTACTTAAAGTACGCGTTACTGACACTGAGTTGCCTTAAAATTAGCACAACCCCTTAATTCTGAAATTCGCTTTCATTGGGATGCATGGCTAGAGTTCTGATTCCTCAAGGCCATATAGGAAGTAAGTCTCTAGTAGATTTACAAGTATACATCACGATTCTCATGAAAACCCCGACTGCTAATTTGAAAGAATTTTACCGGCTTTAATGCAGCTTATGCCAATTTCACTAAAATAATTGAAAAGGGCATATAATCTTGTATAATATTAGAATTATTTAAAAATTGTACATACGTAGAGCATAATAGGAAATAAAGTACATTTACAATTTGTAATTTTATCTCGGACAAAGACACTGGAAATGTAAATATTGCTACATAAGTACATGTAAGGGAAATGAACGACTTTTAAGTTCAAGTCATCACGTTTATCATAGAGTTTGATTGTTGCATTTCCATCAACGTCTCTTTCATGTAAAATATTCAAGTATGAAACAGATGTGTTAGATTTTGTGGTATCTTTTATTTCAAGCTCACCAGGATATATCGTATGGACAAATAACAAATGTTATGATTTCCTTAAAATGTGTAATATTTTAATATGGATCATGCTTTAGTAAATTTGTTTTGAAAATCAAACTATTTTAACTGTTTTCATGACAGATATTTTAGTATACAATGAATATATTAAAAAGATCGTTCATCTTAAGAAATGGTGTCCACGAACTATATGGACAACCTTCGTGCGTCGTAGAGAAACGTTAAAATCATGATCTGTATAAACTGCGTATTTCAGATGACCCCTTAATACTGAAGGCAAATTCAATTTTTTACTCTAATCAATCAATAAATGGAGACTATGAAGGATATGGAGATAACGAACAGTATTCAATATAAAAGTCCGTAGAACAATACAAAATAGGAGCAGAGCAAACACAGACCTCCAAAATATCAGAGGTGGGATCAGGTGTCATGGAGGAGTGAGCATCCCCTGCTGACAGGTCACACCCATCGTGTGCTCCTTGTCATTATCGGGAAATAATCGAAAAGTCCGTCTTCAATTCAGTGTAAAAATAATGGACTAACAATTTAAAAGATGAAAAACGTCAATAAGCATTTGACTCAATGATAAATTGTATTTGCTGAGAAGGTCAATGTATCGACCATAGAACTTACGAAATGATGACTTTTAACGAGACTGCTGATACTCTTGTTCCATCAACTTGTTTTTCAATAATTTACCTCGTTTTAGAAATTGTTCATACGTAGAGCATGCTCTTGCGTATCGAATCAACTAAGATATATAAACTCCGTATGCAGGTGATGAAGGTATATTGCAGCATAAGTAAGGGAAGTTGACGATAGAAAAGTTATAGTCAACATGTTTATCATAGAGCTTTGTTGTTTGATTAGCATTAACGTCTTTTTCATATATCCAAGTATAAAACACATGTGTCAGACTCTGAGGTATCTTTTATCTCAAGCTCACCAGGAGACATTGATCGACATAGGAATGGAAATTACCGTTGTTAATTGAAATCCGTCGTTGATACACTTATCTAAGTGTCAAGTTGAAGGCCACAGCAATTTTTTTTCTTTTCACGCATAAGATTTTGCATAAATTCTGCTTCATGTGAATACAAAAATAGGTCTGCTTTTATCTAATTAGTACCCATGGGAATTCCAATAGATTGTTGAAAGGCCTGGTCTCCAAAAGCAACATAGATATTGTCAATCAGAAACTCAAGCATCTTGTTCTTGTCAACCTCGGAGTACTTGTGTGTGCTATCAGAATGTGTTTTAACAAAATAATTTTGCAAATGACCAATGACCAGGTAAATAAATTTACGAGTTCCAGTTTTACCGAAAAAGCAGCTGTTAATGATATCAAAAAGCCTGCACTTTAATTTATCGTGGAAAATGGTTGTGCATAAAGTTGAAAAATCGTGAGTTTTTAAGCTGTTGATTTTGGTAAAATATTGTGATTTCAAATTGTCCAAAAAGTTCTTTCGAATTTTTTAGTATCCACATCTGATTTACACAACTTCTTGAATACATTGTTGCACAGTAATCTTGAGGTTTCTCCTTCACTACTGTTAATATCTTAGTGAGGAGTAAAAAAAGATGCTTGTTTGAACATTTACTGGGACGATATGAAATTCAATGCAAGACGCGAACACTCAATCATACATGTTTTTTGAAAAGGAATTTGCTCTCGCTGGTTAAAAAAGGCTACATACGTTTTCCCTTTGTAATGCGCCTCTGAAGACAGCGAATGTTATGTCTTTGCACAGAATTCTTACCACCTCCTCTGTCTTGTCAAGACGATCTAAATTGAACCAATAAGTAAATACTGTAAACGTATTGCATTTTGCTGTTTTTAAGAGCCTTTGGCGCAAAACAATTTCCATTATATCAGTTAAATCAAATTCAACGCTAAGTACTGCAAGAAGAAATGCAGTAAATCAGTCTATACTAATCACCTCGACTCAAAACCAAACCAAACATTAAAAGGAAACAAGTTTTAAAAATACTGAAAAGGCAGTTTTATAATTTTATTTATTTCTTTCGTAATTCTGCAGTAAAGTTTCAAAACTAGCCTCTTACCAAAGAAATAATAATATATGTTAAAATTATATTAGAAGCTTTAGCAACTAATTTTCAACCTTCAGACACTAAAGGAAAACATTTTGAAGCATCTTTGTAGAAACAGAATTTAGAGATATAAATGAAGACACAGCAATAGTTACTTGTTACTTTTCCTACCTTTAATTAATTCTTACCTTTCTTAATAAGGTGACGTAGATAAGGGACGTAATCCATGGGGAACTGTGGGAGGTAAAAGGGAGATGGCATCCGGTACGACCATGTTTGACGATACATATCGTGTCTTTCAGGATCAGTATTTCAAATCTTTATAATAAAACTGAAAGTATGATTAAAAATGAATATAGAAATGATATTATATGTCTTCCTTCCTTGACCTAATCCCTATCTCCATACATTGTAAATGTATTTGAGGAAGGAATCTCTGTTTCTGAACAACTATATATTTTACACTTCAGACACGTGCTCGTTTTTGTGTGATGCTTAACGTACATCTCGAGAATTATTCACTTAAAACTTAACTTTGAAAGAAATTGCTAAAACCCTGAAGCATTTACTTATTTGTCAGTACCCGGTAGCCTGCACCGGTTTACAACGTAAATAAGATGTACCTGTATACTCAGGGCATAATCTAGAGCACAGAATAACATTGGAGACCTGGACGCCATATGATGATGATAGTGCAATATTTAAGAAATAAGGTATCATTTTTTGAGTTTTATTGAGATGTAAAACGGGTTGGTCACGTGATCAAATCCCATAAAGCCCGAAGGGCTTTATGGAAGATTTGATCATGTGTCAACCCGTTTTACATCTCAATAAAACTCAAAAAATGATACCTTATTACTTATATTTACATTTGTGACTTATTCATACTTTATATTTGCCTGATTGTTACTTTTAACGTGTGAAATGCGTTAATTTTTCAAACCCAACGGCATGTATGTAATCCACTAAACGCGCGTCGACCCTTTATGACGTCACAGAGAAATTACGTGGAACGTTTATCCAAACGCACATCTATGACCTCTTGACCCCAAACCTGTATTTACACAGTTATAAAAACGCTTGCCTTCAGTAGTGTTATGTAAAGGAAAACATTTGCAAATGTAAATATAACTCCTAAAACCTCCATATATCAAACAAATGTGATCGACTCTGTGGTATCTTTGAATAAAATCAAGGTTACATACTTATGAAGAAATTGATAAATAAAGGTCATTGATAAAACAAACGAGGTGTTTTGGCTGCAGTAGAAAAAGTCACCTTTGAACCACCAAGTATTACCTAAAAAGAAAACTCCGACTTCACATCGATAGGACAACATTTATAATGTTCAAATTTCAATATTCACCCAGCCAAAACATACCAGGTAGATACAATACAAAAAAAACCACCTGTTATATATAATTGAAATTATATATACATGTATAAAGCCTATGACATGTCAACCAAATACGTACAATAAATTTCCAAATAAAATTTTAAGGATTTATCATTTTGACAAGATGGTCATTAGGTATTTGTAAGCGAGAAATAATTGAGTAAGCTTTGAATTTATTGAATATAATCTTCAAAAATAAGAATATACATGGGAATGAAATTTTTATATTAAGCGAAAGCAATCTTCTAATGGAAGAAAAAAATCTTTTAAGACACTCAGTATGTCAACATTGTATTTTTGGAATTCGCTCACCACAATTTGACCTAATATACGGCTTCTTTGTACTTTAAATATTTTAACAGAGAATAAGCATCATACATTACGTTCATATTGATTTTATTCAAAAATCATGACAATTTCCTTGTTCAAACACTATTACGCAATGTAATGAAAAAGGGTAAAGATAACGAAACGTGATAGATCGAAAAAATTGCAAACTATACAAACCTGTAATAGGAACAGACCCTCGGGAATTCCAGAAGGATCAGATGCGTCTCCTGTACACCCGTCCTGAGTCGTACGTACTGATCAGGTACACAGGACTTTCTAAGTAAGCTTTTCTATGTAAGTCAGAATACTACCCTATGAAAGGGCACATTTGCTGACAAGGTCATAATAACATCCATATAACTAGTGCTAATTGTAACGGGAACCGTTACAGATGTTCCCCAAACGCTCCCCAACTCCCTTTTGATGCCATATTCCCTGTAAGCTTCATTAAAATAGACAATTCAGTGCATTTTCTACTTTAACAACGTTTTCCCAGAAGGATACCAATTATATTCAAATTTTAGCATTGCACCCAATCGCTTGTGAATGCATGTGCGTTAAGACCATATCCTCATGTCTACACTATCTATATATTTTAATATACTATATATTAAAGCATTCAGTCCAAAAGTAATAAAAATCACTCATTCAAGTGTATTTCTTATTTCTCTCGTTCCAAATGCACGCACCTGCGTGCACGTGCATGATCACCATACCTTCTTGTGGGAGTCTAATATTTATCTGTGTTCTGAATCCCATCCTGTTTGGTTGAAAAACAAGGAAGTTATAGGTATTTCAAGTTTCAGCCAATCAGATTGCAGCACACATGCATGCGCGTGATTTCATGATATTTTTTCTATATCGCATTGTAGGATATCCTAATGAATGACTATATTTTAAATTTCAAAGTATTTCGTCAAAAAACAAAGGAGATATAGTCATTTAAAGTTTCATCCAATCAGATTGCAGCACACGTGCATGTGCGTGTTTTCTTGAATTTTTTTGTATATCATATTGCAGGACATCCTAATGTATGACGATGTTTTAAATTTCAAAGCATTTAGTTAAAGAACAAAAGAAGATATTGAGATTTTTCTTTCAGCCAATCAGAGCAAAGCGCACGTGCACGCACGTGCTTGCATGTGCACGTCGACCATACCTTCTTGTGGGAGTCTATTATGTCTGTCTATGTTCTAAATCCCATCCCGTTTGGTTGAAAAACAAGGGAGTTATAGCCATTTTAAGTTTGAACCAATCAGATTGCAGCACACGTGCATGCGCGTGTTTTCATGGCAATTGTTGTATATCATGTTGTAGCGCAACGTAAAGTATGCCAATATTTCAAATTTCATAGCATTTCGTCAAAAAACAGGAAAGATATTGAGATTTTTGTTTCAGCCAATCAGAGCGAAGCGCACGTGCATGCGCGTGAGTTGGTGCTTATTTGACAGTGTCACATTATCAACACTATTAATGTTTGCTAATATAATGAGTTTCAAATCATTTCATTGAAAAATGTAAAAGTTATAGCTATATTAAGTATATCAGTCATTTCACTCAAATCACGCGCCCGCACGTGCAGGCGTATGCGTGCAAAATGACCTTCGTTCAGCACATCTACACAACACACCTATTAACCCTAAAAAGGTTTTAGCTCAGTTGGGTGAACAGTTTCTGAGAACACTTCTGGACAAAAAAGTACCGGAGAAGAAATAAGAAGAAAAAAGAATAATAATAATAATAATAATAATAATAAGAAACAGAGTAAAAACAATATGTTCCCCAACTTCGTTTGGGGAACATAACTAGTGCTAATTGTAACGGGGACCGTTACAGATGTTCCCCAAACGCTCCCCTACTCCCTTTTATAGTCACATTCCCTGTAAGCGTAATTAAATAAGACAAACTCTATGCATTTGAGACTTTAAGAACTTTTACCCAGAAGCGTACCATGTTCATTCAAATTTTATCATTGCACACTTGCGCATGTGAATGCATGTGCGTAATGACCATATCATATTGTCTACACAATCTATATTTTTTAATGCGCTAAATATTAAAGTATTTAATCCAAAAGTATAAAAAAAAAAAAACGCTCATTCAAGTGTATTTTTGATTTTACCGATTTTACGTGCACGCACGTGCATACATGAGCATGATGACCATACCTTCTTGTAGAAGTCCATTACATCTATCTATGTTCTAAATCTCACCACGTTTGGTTGAAAACCAAGGGAGTTATAGCTATTTAAAGTTTCCGCCAATCAGATTACAGCGAACGTACACGCATGTGTATGCATGTGCATTGTTACCATACCGTCGTGTAGAAGTTCCTTATATCTATCTATGTTCCAAATTCCATCCTGTTTGGTTGAAAACCAAAGGAGTTATAGCTATTTAAAATTTAAGCCAATCAGATTGCAGCACACGTGCATGCACGTGTTTTCATGATAATTGCTATATATCATATTGTAGGATATCTTAATGTATGGCTATGTTCAAAAAACAAGAATTCAAGATATAGAGACTTTAGTTTCAGCCAATCAGAGCGAAGCGCACGTGCATGCGCGTGAGATCTTGCTTTTTTGATCATGTCATCTTGTTTACGCTACTAATATATCCTTACATTATAAATTTCAAAAGATTTCATAAAAAAATAGAAAAGTTACGGCTATATCCATTATATTGTTCATTTCACGTGTTGCACGTGCGCGCAAAATGGCATGTTGACAATGTCATCTTATCTACATTTATAATATGTCTATATATTCTAAATATCAAAGCATTACATCAAAAAATGTAAAAGTTACGGCAATTTCAAGTATATTGGTTAATTCACGTGTTGCACGTGCGCGCTCTTGCAAGCACGTGCGCGCAAAATGACCTTCGTTCCGCAAATCTACATAACATGCCTACTAATCCTAAAAAGGTTTCCCCTTAATCGGATGTGTACTTTACAAGATCATTCGCGGACCAAATTTTCCCAAGAAGAAAAATAATAATAATAAGAAACAGAGTAAAAACAATATGTTCCCCAACTTCGTTTGGGGAACATAATTACGAATTATTGACTTTAAAGGGGGTTTTGAAGAGCTCGCTTCATGACGGGAAGGTAGTGGTTTCAAACCCCAGTCGAAACTGACCTAGGTCAATAAAAAATAATAGTAGCAACTGCTTCTTCACCAAGCATTCAGCACTCTGAAGTGAAATTTGCGACCCTTCACGATCTCATGGCAACATTTCTATAAGAGTAAAAGTTTTTAAAATGGGGGTCTAAAAGAACATAAATAAATATGTAATGAAATCCTTGCATCATCAGTTCATCTGTCAGTAGACTGCCTCGGTTTTTAGAAATTGATCTTACTCTTGATACCTTTATTTATATCGTACCATCTCTAACAAATTGGTTGTTGGTCCTCTCCCTACCGACCAGGTAGATTTACGCAACTATCTACCAATCCATTTTTTTTTACCTTGGGTCGGGATAGGGCAGACAAACATTATTTTTTAAAGATGGCCTCGACTGTATATTATATAATTAGCAATGGTTACACCCATTCATAATATGACATATTATGTCAGTTAGATATATCCAAGTCAGCTTGACATAAGACACCACAGGATCTGTCTCTTATGTTTCTCTCAGGTGGTTTATTTATTGTTTGGCCTTTGACAGGCCATCTATAAAAAGCGTCTGAATGCTCGCTCCCGACTCACCAAAATTGTGTCGGTAGGTAGGGGGAATTCTGTTGGCTTAAGCAGAAAAAATATCGTGTTCTTGAAAGTTGAACAAAGTTTGTAGTTGGGTCACTTTTAGCCAGTCTGTCGGGAGAGGGCAAACCATTTTTAAAGATGGGCTCATCCTTAGTCATATAAACACCCAAATATGGAAAGCAGAATACTCTGTAGCTTTTTTTTCATTTCGGGTTCACAGGGGTGCATCGAGTTGACATATGAAAGGAATCAACTTAATATTGTTGACATTATTTGGTATATCTGAATGTGAAGCTAAAAGCCACAACTGATTTATTTTTATGTAAATTTTTTAATAAATTTTGCTTCATTCAAATGAACAGACTCAGTTGTAATTTTCAATTTCTTGTCAACACATTCAGGTTTGAAAAAATAGTATGGTGTAGTTTTATGCACGTTCGTAGGTGATGAGATATTCAGGGTATGTCTGACGCTTGTCATACACAATGAATTCCCTGAACAACCACTTCCCATCCCCAACAACAGAATCATAGAAGTCTTTAGGTTTGTGAGTAGTGCAGTTGTCCTTTCTACACTTCTTACATGGCGCTCGTCTGTGAGCTACAGGGAAATCATACAGACATACGTCTCCCAAACACATGCGAACTAGCAGCATCTGATGAGGAATTTTCTTTCTGTTTTCTTTCTTGTCTGCATAATATACCAAACTTCTAAATTAATTAAACATTGGTGTTTCAAACAATGTTTATCATGCAACTAAGAGAAAAGTCACTCGACAAAAGATAAACAAAAGACACGCGGAAAAGGTAAAATTATAAAATAATCATATTCAGGATGTGGAATGAGTGTAAGACGAACGATAGAGAAAAAGAAACGTAATGGGCTACGTGTACCTACCTACATACTGATCAGCTTTTGTTGAACTCTCGGCACCGTATGCCCCCTGTCCAAACATAGCGGTACCTCTAGACATTCTACAATCTAATCCTTGTGTCAGAACAGAATCTAAAGTTTCTGCTAATGTCCCGTGAAAAACGTAATGTTCATTGATTTCTGGATAAATGTCCGACAGAAAAGAAGTGCTGGTTTTGTTTGATTTCAGAATAGAGGTAGTTTTGATTTCGCCGGATGATTTTGGAAGAGTTCCTAAAGGAAATGGACCGCCTCTGGCTCTTGCTTTGTCAAAGAACCTTTGTCTTTCCTGAACATAACTCTCATATAAATCTAGATTCTCCACACGTTCTACTTTGGTAATTCGAATATTGTTGTAGAAAAGCATATCCAAGCCCTTTGCATCGGCCCCCTTTCCTACATTGTGAGATTCCCAAGTCTTCTCTACGATGTTAACGACCAGATCCTTTGTATTCTGGTCGACGTTGACAAGGCTGTAGGGATGTCGTCTGTTCCGCCGTTTACAGACCTTAATCTTTTCTCCTCCTTTATAATCAGTCCAATAGGACGGAACACAAAGCTCCTCCTCGTACATCATGGAGAACCAGTCACGTGATCCCCGAACTGGTGGAGGTTTGGGTTTTGGTTCTATTATTATTGGGGCCTTATTTTTCATCTTTGGAGGTGCTATCTTATTTATTTCTCTTTCAAATTCCTGTAAAAAAAAGAAATGGATAATATTTAGTAAATCGTGTTTCTAGTACACTATTGCATCGTTATTCTATTTGTAACATTTAATATGTTGTGCAATAGAACGTAGGAAAAATGATTTATTTTTTTATTTTTAGTCTTAACCCCTATAAGTTTTTTCAGCGTACCTTCCATATATTTAGAAACTCTGAATCTCTTATGTCCACTACTACATAAACTGTATCTATTTTTGAGTCTTTGTTGGCTGTGCTGTATTCTTTGATAGAAGAAAAGATTTTCATGGCCGATATCCTCGGAGGAAATTTTAAGTCTCCAACACCAAGTGTTGGAATTGCAATGGTTTTATAACCATCTTCTTGTAGTTTCATCAAAGAAAGTTGAACCGTTAATACCAGTGCCTGTAAATATGAGAGAGGTTTTATAATACTCAGTATTGAAGATTGTCACACTCAGGGTATTTAAATTTAGGAATATAGAAAAGAGGAGGAACTGACTGCAAGTTAAATGAAAAGAGCACAGTCGAAATAAAGCAAGCCATCTAGTACCTTACCTGCTGGTTTTGATCCCCTTCCTTAACAGCATACCTTGGCAGGGCCCCGAAGTACACATTTTTAACGTTTTGAAGATTATGACCTCCGATAGATTCTACATCACCCACGTCTATTCCCACCGGGAACGCTTTGGTGAATTCCCTTTCTATACCGGGACCACCAGCCTTAACGATAGCTCTAGACGATCTGGTGGACCCAGGCTTTCTATATGGAGGTAGGGCCTCAACAATGACATCAACCTAGAAAATGAAGATTAAGGCCAGTCATCTTATTCGGAGTAAAACAATTAAGAGGAGGTATTTTCAGTCATCTACAGCATTGAAATGCAAAATACCTTCTGTTCCACTAGACATCCAGAGACAAGCTTCACCGTCAGATTTTCAAGAGAATATTCAATATCTTTTGGTTTGGAAGGTAAAACTCCTGTGAATATTTATACATAAAAATTGAGATTTTCCTTTTCTTACGATGAAAAAAAAAATTTAAACAAAGATATGAACAATTAAAGATTTTATTTAATAATTGAATCTTGTGCAAAACAATTACCTTGCAAAGTTGGCTTTTGGTATATAGTATACGAATAACGATTGAATTCATTTTCGAAGTCTTCAAACGTTTTGGTATCCTTAGGGAATATAACGAAGCGTATATCCAAAACAGTCGTTGATTTATGTCTCATTTCAAAGTCTTTTACACATTGAAGCAGACGACAAACAACGACTTTAGCGGGAAACTGTAGAAAACCTGTGCCCAGTGCAGGAATGGCGATCGAATTAATTTGCAATTGATCTCCCCTCTCAAGACACTTGGTAACAAAATCTGTAAGAGTCTGAAGAAAAAACAATCTTAATCTTTGGATGCAAAGGACATTTAAATATGTCATTTTCTGGTATACCTACCTGCTCCACTGAATTACTTTCTTCTGCTCTCCAATACTTCAGACATCCATGGAATATATATCCACAGTACAACTCTCCGCCTCCAGTTTCTGCCAGTTCTCCAAACTTGATTCCGTCCGGATATTTTCGCGTGCATTCCTGTTGAATAGAGCGTCCGGCTTTTTGTAACATAGCTCGCGAGGCGTTTCCCGCGTCCAGTGTTAATGTTTGTGAAGTACTGTTGACGATTGCGTCAACCTCCTCTTCGTAAACTAACCCTTTTTTCAAAGTGACTTTTACTCGCCCAATCCTTGCTTGGCAATCCTTTGGCTTTTCAGATGGAAGTCTTTTCCTGTAATATAAACGAAATATCCGCTCATCTGAAAATTCACGAAAGTAATCAATGTACGTTCTTTTTTTTCATATGATCCTTCATAATCATTTAATTCTTGGTGTTAAGGGAATCCTATTTCATAAATGTTTTTCGTCTAAACAAATTTATTTAATATTTTACTTGAATTTCAGAAATTCAAGTAAAATATTTCAAGTGTTCTTTTTTTCAGAGGGGGTTCGGTAGGAGGGGAGAAGGGTTCAAATATTTTACAAAAAAGCATAAAGATGAGATAGAAAATCTAAATAATACAAGGTAATGTTATCACACCTTATCACATATTTGAATACTCACTTCCTTCTCCCTAGTAAGCCAGGGAGAAAACTACTCTTCAGGTCATCATCCTCGTCAAGAGGTGGCGCTTTTGAGCTTCCGTCGTCTGCTTCTAGCAGATTTCCGGACGATGCTGATCTGGTTATTCTTCGCGCCATTTTATCATTTCACTAGAAAAATTTGAAATAAACAAACTATTTGACAAATTGCAGTCTTTCCTTCTTTATTCGATTAAACAATATACAATCAATCAATCTATATTCGATCTCCAAAACTTTCAAATACTACAATGTAGTTACTGATATATTTAGTTTTAGCAGCTAATAATGTGTTATTCAACAGACATTTCAGATAAATAATAAGAGGTAAAAAGAAATACGTTCAAAACTTTATATCACAAAATCTGTTTATTTCTGACTTTTTTGACTCTCGTTATTTCTAGATAAAAAGAAATATGATAGGTATATGTTAACATAACATTTTAAAAATGTACTTTCGTTATCAAAATTTAAAAAGAAAACAACAAACATATGATCGTATAACAAATACTTCCAATTTACCTTGTCAGTCTTCCTCTTGGCATGAAAAGTTGATGGAAATTTAAACCAAAAGTAGATGAAAATTTCCACGAAGGGAAGTTCCGACTTGCATTTAAAAATATCTACTACTAAATCGATCTTCTGGTAAAGAATGTTGAAATTAAGGTATTTAAACATGTTATAAATAACCTGTAAACAAGTATAAACATATTTCCCCACACATACAATTAATTAATAAAAATATGTCCCACGGCAGATCCGATGTAACGACGTTGTGTTTTAAATTCACTCTCTCTTAATTATATAATTCTTTCATTTAGCGGCGATTTAGCTTCAGCTGTTGAGAAAGTCAAGTATTAAAGCTATATTTCTTTTAACATTAAGTTGGATATTTCAACGATTCTCTGCACATGTTTCTTATTTTATCTTAGTCTCGATACTTAATTCTTCGAACCTTCCAATTTCTGGAATTTTGATTTTCCTACGTTTCATTGAATTTGAGATAACAAGTTTAATTGTATATCAATTTACATAATATACAAGGTACAACTGAACTTCGGTATCTCGAACACCAATAGCTTAAATACAATAGATATAGGTTTTAAATGTATTTTCATGGTCCGATCGAGTTCAAGTCAAAGATATTTGACTGGTCATTAAGTAAGCAAAAAATTTATGTAATACTTGTGTAAGTTTTTTTTAAAAAAAAGTTTATTTTAAATATGTGAGGAACAAAGAACATGCTAAAAATATAATTTTCAACATCAAATAAGAGGAGAGAGAAATATTTCCAACATACATAGGCGTAGTCACAGGGGGGGCAGCGGGGGCACTAGCCCCCCCACTTTCAGATGTGGGGGGGCAAGAGTATGTCTGTGCCCCCCCACTTTTTAAAAGAAGAACAAAATCACAGCTATTTTCCCCAACATTACCTTTACAATAGGAAATATTCATTGAATGGATTTCAAAGCAACTTCCCTTTGAAAAAGTTGGCCTCTACCCCCCCCCCCCCCCCCCCCCCTCCCCCCCACGAAATAGGATTTTCGAGTTTGGGGAACTTTCCCTTTTTTTTTTTTTTTTTTTTTTTTTGCTTGTGAAAGAATTTCTGGAGCTGAGCCCCCCCACTTTTAAGTTTGGTTTTTTTTTTTTTTTTTCAAAGAATTTCTGGAGTTGAGCCCCCCCACTTTTAAGTTTGTGACTACGCCTCTGACATATTAAGCACTGAACACTTAATAGTGCTCTTGGCTATCTTTTGATGCTCCCAGGTATTGAAATGGTGATGTATCTAAAACTTTTCACTTGACACGCATAAACCAGTATCACATTTGAATACAAAGACACAAGTACTGAAAAATAAATACAAATCTGATTAAAGAACGGTTAAATAATGAGTTTGCATGTTGCACAATGGCTGATCAAGTTTAGAAAAATGCATAGCCTTAATTCAATAATTGCCAGAAGAAATTAACAAAAATACCTTTGAAATATTAACATCAAATTATCGTAAAATTTTTACAGGATGCTATTTATTTTTATATACTACAATATACAGCCATAGCTAGGTAATCCTCAACCTCTTTCTCTTCCTGGGTGAACACAAAATAACAAACGTACTTTTTTTTACCTAAAATATTTTATAAACAATCAAAAAGCATAAATAAAAATATATGCAGTACAAATGTTTTAAATTAAAAAATATATACAACTCACTTTTCAACAACAGAGTGGTGGAGAGGTATACAACATTGGCGAAATACATGTACTTATAATACAAAAATGCAAAGTTTGAAAGTGATGCTATATTAATAGATTATGACATATATGAATTTTACATTTATAATTGAAATATGTGAATTAAAAGAAACTTTGAATTTGCAAACTTTTGCAGTAATTAATTGTACGTCATAGAATCAATATATACAAGAAAAGAAGGAGCAAGAATACATTTTTTTTGGTCATGTCCACAAGGGATGTCCACTCAATTATGACACTTGATCGACTTTGATTGCTATTTAAAATTTGCATTGTTTAACTGAACTTTTGAGAATTTTTTTTCTGTTCACATATTATTTTTGGTTAACATGATTTTATTTGGGGATAATTTAGTTACAAGTAAACAATTTAATTCTATATATATACGACACAAAGTAGAAATAACACTGCCATTGCATAATTGTTCGAAAGAAGCTAAGACTCCAAACCTGGTGTTTCCATGGGTGTTTCATCAGTGCCACACGAGGTCTTCACATTTGACTTTCTATTTCTAAATGTATCGGGTGCAACCATTTCTTGAACAATTCGTCTGACCCTTTCATTAAATACAAATGAAATCATGACGCACAGCCCCTGTGATCCATTAAGAATAGACACTAAGTAAGAAAATGGAGATATTTCAAAAAGTCCATCAATTATCTGAAAGATCCAAGTCAGTCCTGTGAGGAGAAACAGCTTTAAGTAAATGGAGAGATAATTTCGAGAGGGACCATTTTCAATTTTAGGAGATCTCTGAATTTTAGAAAAAGTTACGGAGAACAAGATGACGTTCACAAAGCAAAAGACTGAAATTGGAATGATGAAAATTAATAATTTTTTTCTCCCACCGTCTATGAAACATGCGGTACCTCCAAACCCAGTCAAGTGCGAAGCAGAAAAAGTCACCTGAAATCCGATCGTGACAGAGACGAGTACCAGAGGAGTCAAATATGAGAAGAAGATGTAAGCTAGGATGATACGATTGCAGGGATTTGTATTGTTAAACTTTGCATCACAAGCAAACACTCGGAACATGTGGATACAAGAAGAGGTGGCACAAGTAAATGTTGATAGCCAAAAGTAATACGTCAAAATACCAACAGTTGTACAAGCCACGTCATCATAAGTGAAAGGGCTCTTAATAAGGGTAAATAACTGTGCAAAAAAGAGTGAAAATACAAAACACATCAAATTTTGTCCAGGTATTGAACGCAGATTTTTGAGAATGCAATACATAGTAAAGGTTATAACAAGCGAGACAAGAGAAACACTTGTTGAAATGATTGTTAGGATTTGAAGCAAATTTAAAGTAGGTGTAATAGAAGGTGGAAGAGAATAATAAGACATGTAATCACTGGCACAAATCCGAACTGCACTGCCCTTAGTTATAGAGAACTGATTGTGATAGAATGCTCTATTCAAAATTGGTACAAAAATTTGAAGCTCATCATTTGAGAAATAGAAATCCATTATTGAAAGTGATATTTGTGGACAAAATAGAAGCTTTGTAATGTCACGACTAGTTACCTCGCCAATTTTAGTTGGTGACTGAAAGCGCTTATTGCAAAATGAATGCAATGGAGAAACACTCTCAAAAACCACCCTTTTACGTCATCATAATATTCGAAAGAGACGTTCCCAATTGTTTCTGTTTTTAAACTAGCTTCATAAATTCGGTATTCAATGAGCTTTTGATCTACTTGTTCTGTTACTTTGAAGGGATGGTTTCGAATGTATAATTTCATGAAAAGAGTTAATATTATTGGATGTGATTCAGAAAACGTAACTATCTTTTGACATTGCCTGTTGAAGCGAAAATGGTATTCTAAGATCGTAAGAATCAAATTAGTATCAATGAGCATTTGATCAGTGAAAAAGGAAGTTATTGATTTGATTAATATATCAATGTCCATGTTCTTTTGACCCACTTTACTATTTTAACTGGCAGTAAACGCAACATTGTGTATCATTCTGGGAGTGAATGATGAGAAAAATTAGATACATTCTCCATTCACAAGCTGCTGTCCAGGGGAACAAAGGAGACTGCGACAACTTCTCCGAAAAGATGATAACGACACCTTTAAAGATAAAATAAAGCCACCAAAAACGTTTAAACTAGAAAAATATTTCATATATTAAATATTAAAATTTGCCTTACAGTAAAGGGGAATTAGGAAATGAAAATTGACTGTGTCCAGCAACAATTTTATATTTCCTTTATAGATAGGAATAAGAGCCTTACCTTGTAGCTATCAAATATTTCATTGGTTAAACACTGGCTTCTTTGATAGTTTTCGTCTGATTTATGATCGTCTTCTAATATTGAGAATATTGAACGGTAATCAGGGTCCGTAGGACTGTAGAGCGAACAGTTTTCGCCAGCTTTACTAGGTCGTTCACAAAGTGAACAGTACAAATTTTCTGTTCCTGGAAATTCGCAATTTGGTGGTCAAAATCGTGGATTTGGATGGACATTTATAGAACAGTTTCTTGACATGGCCTCCTGTATCATAGACTCAAACTTGACTTCGTGTTTAAAGTTCAAGATGTTTGGACATTCAAGGTTAATTTTCCATGGAATCGTCTGCATCTGTTCTGTATCACTGCCTGCGTTAAATAAATTAAAACAAAGGAAGCAAAAATAACTCTTGTAGGTTTCAAGTGTTCGAATAAATGTCACTGGAACAAAACTCGGCACATTATTATATTCATCTGATTCATAAAGATTCCTTATGATAACATTCTTGTACATGTGTATTTGTTATGACATTTACTGATCATAAAAAATGAAGCTGAATCAGAATCTACGGAATTTAAGAATTGTGGCAGATATGTTGGCACACATTCCCACTTCTTGATTCGCTTCAGTATGCTTCCCTCGGCTTTACAACAACTGGTTTCTTTACTACAGCTAAAGATACATGAACAAGGAGGTTCATTTATGATTTGACTCAGAGTTCGGTTCTCAGGAAAGAAATACGCTTTTGCGTTACCACACCATCTCTCCCGCTTAGTCCAGCCGAATTCTTTCCGATTAAGTGCAATAGGAATTGTCTGAAAACTGCCAAATTTTATTGTCGATAGATATTTGCTTATTGTGGGATTTTCTGTGAAATCAATTGTACTTAATGTTATTTCTGATAAATAAACCTGGTGTGGTGATTTCGAGGATTTCTGGACCGGTCTGTTGTAGATATGAACTGATATTTCAGCGTCAGCCATCTGAACGTCTCCACCATTTGTTTTCACCAAATTACATTCTTCACAGTGCTTGTTTTTATATGGATAACGCAACAAATCCACAGTTTCATTTAAACATGCATTCAGTAGTTCGTTATCAGAATTGTCCATCCTTCCCGTTGCGTTGCACACAGATATAGGTGGGAGAAAGGTCTCATCTCGAATGTTACACAATAGGCAAAACGGATTCTGAAAACCTCCAATCGGTTGATATAAAGTGCTGCAGGCTTTTTCAACATTAAATTGAGACATGACAGAATAATAACCTGACACACCTGTGGTATTACACCGATTGACAAGATTAGCATCGCACCTTCTAGGAACTTCAAACTTAGACCTAATTTCGTCTGAAGGAAAATAACGAAATGAAATATCCTCGTCCAGAATGAATTTCCATAATTCATCAGTAGAGCTGAAATCTTCCAGTTCGGTTATACATTTTATATCAATTAACCAAGGTAAAACATTAAAATCATTGTTACATCTGGCACAGTAAATATTACTATAGGTAATTTGGTTGATTTTGAAGTAACTGGATTTGTCTTTACTAGCATATTTTCACAATGAGTAAATTTGTAATTTGACATTTTCTGATAAGTTCCTCCTCTGCGTCTGGGGGACAGTAATTTTTCATATGGTAAATTTCATCGAGCCACTCTGAGCCGTGCGAGGTTTGCGCGAACGTGTTGAATGCAATGTCCAAACAAGTATTAGCTTTCTTAAAAAGCTTGTCTGACGTGGTTTGCTTAAATTCATTAAGCAGAAAGAAATAATAATATAATTTCTTTCGTTCGATACAATATCTTCAAGAGACCATGCGTAATCAATATTGTATACAATGAACTTTAAATTGAAGCTCGATCCTGGCTCCAGAATCATGACACAAACTAAGACTTGAAGTGAAATTTTTAATCGCCGAAAAAATATTTATTAATTATGGAATTTATTTCTTTATTTGCACATAACAACATCTCTGTGAAACAATATTAAAATATCCCTAACCCTAACCCTTCTGGTCTGCAGAACAAACAAAATGAAATGAAGGTTGTAAATGATGAATCTTTGATCACTTAATGGGCGCGTATAACCTTAACCCTGGCGATAACAATCTTGGCAGAGCGTTACACATGCTGACCATTTCCCTGCTGTTCTTGAAAGCTTTCATTGCTTCTCAAACCATTTGATGTACAATGATTCTCTACATAACACTGTTACGTAATTGATTGATGAAATTCTGAACTGAAGCATCTGGGAAAAGAAACAAGAAGATGCATACTAATTTAAAATGTAATATCGTCCAAAATATAATCGTTGGATAGGTGTGAAGTATAACACTTCAGCCAACATACAAATCTATTTACACAATAAAGAATTAAAAGCGAACTTGAATAAGACATTTTTTTCTGTTTTCGCTTAATTTTTCTCAGGCACAGATTTTCAATACTTGGAGCTGGGCAATTAAGAGAAAATATTTAACCACGTGCTTGATAATTCAATGTCAAGGTATAATTTCACTGGCGGATTTAAGGGGGGGCGTGGGGGGCGCACCCCCCCCCCCTAAAATTTTCAAAGTATGATGTGACTTATATTTATAATGCCACATTTTGGTACAAAACTAACCTAACCACTGTTTTTCTGCCTGGATTTACTCTTAAAATACACAAAAATCCAGGATCTTCCGGGGGCTGCGCCCCCTGGGCCCCCACCATTCAAAGTATGATATGACTACTATATGTATAGTATTAAACACGCCATACCATGGTACATCGCTAAGCAATATACCACTTTTAGTAAGTAATAAGTAATTAAATCGTTTAATAGTGGCATGTGTTACAATACAATGAGAATTGAGAAACATTCATTACAATTATTATTCAAACATCCGGACCTATATGCCACTGTAAACAAAAATAATTGAAAAATATGCACTATTATTGTGCCTGATTTTACTCTAAAATACACGAAAACCCAGGAGCTTTAGGGGGCTTCGCCCCTGGGCCCCCACCAGGGCTTCACCCTGGACCCACTGGGGGCCTTAAGGCGGCCCCCAGACCCCTTGCCTCAACAAAGATATGCACGCCCCCCCTAACCACAAATCCTGTATCCGCCCCTGAATTTTACTGAATATAAGCAATCAATTATTTAACCATGACATGTAAAATGACTTAATCTTTGATACACAACACAAAACAGTGAGATTAATATGCTAAGGCATGTTTTATGGAGAACTGAAGCGGACATGTTCATAGATGAAAGTACGGATTATACTAAAGACAAGATCATTCAGTAATGTAAATAAAAGCTCATTTCCTACATGACTCTTTGGAAATTGTGCATGTATCGAAATTTCCACCATCGAACTATCTAAACAATTTCATGGAACGACTGCATAAATAAGCCCTGGTTAAATCTAGTACTGTCTGACGCCGTGACGTCAGACAATAACAGTCTCCAGTGTTTGAGCATGCATCATCACAGCTACACTTCGGACAAGTCATTGAAATGTTTCTTTTTGTATATTCTTTTACTGTAGCTTTGGAAAAAAGATTTTTATCACAAATATTTTCAATGTCGCAAACATAGGAATATTCCTTCAGTATATTTTTCCATTCTTCAGTGAAATCATCTGCACTTGTGCAGGGTGCCAAAAAACATAATGGGATAATCACCAACCTGAATACGTCGGCAGAAAATTTGCCTGCAAATATAACACCGGAGAGAGTACATAGATATTAATTACTTTACTAATCATGAAACATATGGAGATAACTAACAGTATTCAAGATCAAAAGTTCATAAAACAATACAAAATAGGAGCAGAGCAAACAAGGACCTCCAAAACATCGGAGGTGGGATCAGGTGCCATGGAATAGTGAGCATCCCCTGCCGATCGGTCACACCCACCGTGTGCTCCTTGTCATGATCGGGAAATGACGGAAAAAATCTGTCGTCAATTCAATGTATAAATAATGGACTAACGATTTATCTGAAAAACGTCAGTCAGCATTTGTCTCAATGATAAATTGTATTTGCTGACAAGGTCATTGTATCGATCACAGAACTTACGAAATGATGGCTTTAAATGAGACAGCTGATATTCTTGCTTCCTCAACTTGTTTGTCGATAATTTACCTCTTTTTAGAAATTGTTCATACGTACAGCATTCTCTTGTGTATGGGATCAACAGAGATATATAAACTCCGTATGCAGGTGAGGAAGGTATATTGCTGCATAAGTAAGGGAAATTGACGATAGAAAAGTTAAAGTCATCACGTTTATCAAAGAGCTTGGTTGTTAGATTACCATTAATGTCTTTTTCAAGTAAAATATCCAAATATGAAACAGATGTGTCAGACTCTGTGATATCTTTCATTTCAAGCTCACCAGGATATATCGTATCGACATAAGAATAGAAATTACCATTGTAAATTGACAATACATCGTCGATATATCTAAAAGTATACCTGTCACACCCGCCGTGTGCTTCATGTTATGATCGGGAAATAACAGAAAAATCCGTCGTCAATTCAGTGTTAATAAAGTACTAACAATTAGTAAGAAAAACGTTTGTCAGCATTTGACTGAGTAATAAATTGTATTTGCCTACGTCATTGATCGACCATAGAACTTGCGAGACTGCTTATATTCTTGTTTCATCAACTTGTTTGTCAATAATTTACCTCGTTTTAGAAATTGTACATACGTACTGTAGAGCATGTAAACATTTTTTTCTTTTTATATTTAATGTGAAAAAAAGCGATTTACTTACTCATGGTGATTTCTGGCGTTTTGTTGATAGAAAATTATAAATTCCTTGTTTTATCGACATCAGGATCTTATCATCACTCTCTCACTGCATTATATCGAATCGGCGCTATATGCAGCGATATTATGTGGAATTTATACTACCATGTTCTGATATGCACTCGGCACTAAATTGTAAGGAATAATGGATCATAATGAATTTGAGATCAATTAAATTTTATTACTTTAATTCATTAACAGGATATTTTAAAAATTTTTGCTTAGGAACGTTTTTGTCCGTAACAGTATGCTGATTTAACATATTTGAAACCAAATTTATTATCGTCTCATTACCCATCACTTAACATTGTATTACTTAATAAGAAAAAACAAACAAATAATTAAAGTGATAAATGATTAATAATGCCATATTATCCACCGGACTTCAATTTTCTTTCAATAAAAAAAATAACTTTAAAAAAAGTATTGGGCTTTTAGTTATTGTAAAAAGTGAATTGTAGTCCTAATACGCTGTGTAATGCATAATAATGTATGATGAGAAGACGTTGACAAATAGGACCAAGGAAATACTTAGGAGTCGAGATAAAGAATTGTCGAAATTTGTTGATCTGATCCCAGCTCTGGAATTTCCAGGGAGTCGTGTTCACGACGGAACTCGAATATTGTCTGTCGTTGGATATACTTAGTACAATAGCCTGCAAGCACAATTCCAGGTCTTTCCATCCTCCTCTACAAATCTTCTATACAGAATGTCATTTTCTATACATAGATTGTTCCACTGTGACCTCTATGAACGCACTACATATACTTGACCACTGACTACACTATACTCGGGTCTTGTCTTTTCTTTGAGCCAACGTTTGACAAGTGATAAAATCGTTGTCTTTGTCTTGCATTTCTTTGATTAACAGAATATTGGATCGTTACCATCTTACTTTGATCCACTGGCTTGGGCTTCGCTCTCACTTCATCTTGCTTGTTACCTTCCAAAACTTGTTCCCAGTTTGCATCAAAACACACTGGCGAAATGACACACGACTCAGTGCGTTTGCATCGCTGTGTTGGGCTTCTGGTCGATGTCATATGTCAAAATTGTATGTACTGAAGATTTTCAGCTTATGTGCAAATTGTCCTACTGGATTCTTAAACTTAAAAACCACCTTAAAGAGCTATGGTTTTCGAAGACTATAAACTTTTTACCATAGAAGTAATGCTAAAAGTGCTTGGCAAAGTGGACAACCGCAATCAATTCCTTTCGTGTTACATAGTACCTGTGCTTACACTTTGTCAGAGTCCGACTAGCATTAGCTACAACTCTCTTTTGTTCATAGATCTTTTGTAATAAGACTGCGCCTATAGACAAATTGCTGACATCGGTGTCTGATATAATGTGGATGCCTTTATTCCGGAATATTGGTCAGCTTATGTCTTAGGGCATCATACACCTCTTGACATTCATTAGACCAGACAGAGGCGCGAACTTTTTCCGCCAGCTTGTGAAGGCATTTTCATTACTTGAGAAATCTTTGATGAACCTCCTGAAATAGCTGCATAGTCCAAGAAATGAGCGTACCTCAGTAGCATTGTCGGTACTGACCGCTGTTTTACTGCAGCTACTAGTACCTTGTTTGGGTCAGTCGCTACACCTTCCTCTGACACTACATGTCTAAGGTAAGTCACCTTCTTGCCAAACAAGTATTTCTTGGCTTTGAGTAGTTTAAGGCCTGTATTTTGAAGTCGGTCGATCTTTCTAAGGTTTGCCGACATTTCCTCAAATGTCTTGCCTTGTCATGATCACGTAATTTAGGTAAACTACACAGATATCCCAGTGAAGGCCAGCCAAGACACTATCCATTACGTGCTCAAATTTTGCAGGAGCATAACATAACCTGAATTACATGACCTTAAACTGAAATAGTCCATGCTTTTGTTTGTCGTCTGGCTCCATTTCTACCTGCCAATATGCTGTACAGAAATCTAGAGCCGAGAACCATGATCTACCTCTCAACTGATCTAGTGACTCGTCTAGTCTGGGAGGGGGTATACATCTTTGTACAGCTATTTAACTTGCGATAATCAATACAAAAGCGAAATGTGCCGTCCTTCTTTGTTTGCTAGATCAATAGGCGCTGACAACGGGCTGCTTCATGATTCTTAACTTTTCTCAGATTTGCTTGATGTATCCTCCTCTTGTGACGCAATCACTTTGACTTCAAAGAGTTGTCCATTTACCGTACCTGGTTATAAATGATATTGGCTTCCTCGTCAACATTAAGCAAACGGGCTGGTACCATCTCCTGAGGTAAGACCAATGTTCGGATATTTTATAGCCTTCCCATGGCGTACCAGATGCATAGAATTCTACTAAACAGGTATTCTCTGGAACATGTTTTCAGTCCTTCTAGACTTGGCCTTGCGTGATGACCTCAATCCTGGGAGGTTTGTTGACTGTCTTTGTTGCTGTTATTCTATTCCAGTCTATGTAGCCCACCATAAATATCCACCGCACATGCATTTGACAGTAGAAAGTCTAGTCCCCGTATTCCATCTGCCTGATGCGGATGCGATTCAAAATTGCACGTTTTCAATATTGTCAGATTTCAATTACTCTAGTATCTGTTTTAATTTGATTACCAGTGTTTGGAACTTTTATTGACTACAGTATGCAGGGGGTGAAATTTCTACGTACTAGCACAAAGACATCCATTTTTTTTCTTACAGACACTTTGTAGTAAAATTGAGTTTTCATACCTCCTCCCAAAAAAAGTTAACAAAGGACATGAATGTAAAGTGGAACGGAAGGACAGAAAGACGGAGGACACCTCAAACAATGCCCCAGCCAAATTCATGGTGGAGTGTAAAAATGTTTAAAGAATTGAAAAAAAACACAACAAAACGTTTAACAAAATTATACAAATCCAGAGAGTAACCATTCAAGTCAAGTTGTACAACTTTAATGTACATATATGCCACATGTAAATATACATTTGCATGGATTGTGCTAATTGCACAGAAAATTGTTTCTTGACCATGACCTTTTATGTAGGAAACATTAACTTATAAGAGAAATGAAATAGTGAAGAATGTTATTCATATTTTAATAGTGTGCAAAAACATAAAAAATTATTTCTCTATTAGTCTATAAATAATGTTGATTTGTATGGATTGCTATGTAACTTTTCCTTGGAAATCAATTGTGGTATTAACTAGCTGCCCAGTGGTTTTGTCAATTCCACGCACTGTAATTTCTGTCTCACCAAATTTTAAGGACAGATGCACCGCATGTTCAGTTCCATCCAGTGGGTCCAATAAATTAATTTTCAGTTTACCAATACACACACATCCTTCATCATTAACACTCTGCACGTCTCGTTTATCAGTTCGATAAAATCTTAACTTTAAATTTTTGTCTGAGTTACTAGGGGCAAAGAATTCTCTTTCAACTGTTTTTCCAACCTCCACAGTGTCTTCAATAGTTACGAGTTTGTCAAAAGTTCCGGTAAAGTAAGATGTTCCATTTATTATTTTCTTCCTACCCTCTGGATCAGAGGCCAACCAAAACCGCAGGACCTCTACTCCATATGTGAAAGGACAGATTCTAGATTTGATTAACTTTTCATCATGTCCAAAAATAACAGCTCCTTTCAGCACCGCTAATCCAGCATCTGCAGGTATTATCACCTCATAGTCCATGAATCTTTCCTTGAATTGTTTTTGAATAATTTCTGAATCAGAAAATCCCCCTACAAGCACTATGTCCTTAATATTAGTACCAATTTTTAAAAGTTTATCCATTATATTAAAAGATTCTTCTAATGTACGTTCAAACATTTTGTTAATCATTTCATGTTCGAATATAATTTTCCCAGTGCGGACTTTCACAAGCTGTGCATAATGAGATTCCCCCACCAGTTCTCTATAAGTTTTCCCCGTCAAGGATTTACACGTCTCAGAAAGGGACGGGAACATTGTTAACTGTAATTTACTTTCAGAAGAGAGGTCTCTCTTCTTTAGTTCTATGTTGCTTTCCATTTCCATGAAGTCTGATGTTTGTTTTTTGAATTCCTCGATGACATTTTTCCCTAGAAGCTCTTCTAGAATTTCCCAGACTTTGGTGTTGATTGTGTTCCCTCCTAAAGCCCCTCCACTGGCTTTATGTAGCACCTCAAGCTTCTTATCCCCACTGATACCAATCAAAGAGAAATCAGCTGTACCACCTATAAAATAACAGCCTTAGATTTTATATCATCTATCTTACAGTGAGTAAATATATCATGCTTTTATCTTAGAGTAAGTAAATAAATCATACAACTATTTTACAGTAAATAAATCATACTTATAAATGCACTATTTAAAATAAATATTTAAAAAATTATAGTAAATATAAGAAATACCACCTCCTAGATCAACAATCAGAATCTGTGAGCCCCTGCTGTACTTGTTGATAGATTTAGAGGTTAGGTCAGTCCTTGACCCTTTGATGCTATAAATAGCTGCTGCCTCAGGTTCAAGGGCAAGAGTTAACTGACTTCTGGGGATACCAGCCTATAGATAGAGTAGCAAAGAACAACTATTAAAATAAATGAAGTGATTCTGAAAAGCAAAATTATAATATGGTCCTTTTTTCTTGTTTTTCCATTAAAAGAGTTTGAGATCTACTGAGAGTCTTTATTTTGAAATTATATACAGATTTATGAGATATCCATGAAAAGCTTCCATAAACATGTACCTTTTCTGCTGCATTCCTCATAAACTGTTTTGCGAATTCGTCCCAGATAGCAGGTACAGTTACCACCCAGCGTATACCCTCTTTCTTGACGTTTTTATCCAGTAAAGTCTCTAAACACTGATCATAAAGGTATTTTATTGCTAGTGAAAACACATCAAGAGCCTTCATTGGACGATTCATGTGGTCCATGACCTCCACTGCTGTTTCATCTCTCTACAATTTTACAGATTGAAAAAGTTAATAAAAAGCAAATGTTTACTTATAAAATGGGCAATGAATTTTGGACCCAAAAGAAGTCTGAACTCTTACATTGTACTTCTAGTGAGACAAACATTGTGGTGCTTAGGAATATTTTCTTACTCTTTCTTATGGGGAAAAATATAGACATGACATGCAAAGACCTTAAGGGGGAGCTATTTCTTCTTCTCAAGCACACACAAAACACATGTACCATAAATATTTCTTTTTATGCATATTTGTAATATAATTACATGTATAAGAAATAATATGTGAGACTAAATGACTTGAAACCTCTATTGACAGTTTGATTCAAATATTGAATACTTGTTGACATCCTTTATATACATGTATGACTTTTGTTTCATTATTATTTATTAAACACATACCTTATCTTGGAATAACACCATTTTCATCTGATTAAAGTAGCGGTAGTCATTATGTTTATCTTCCTCCACCAGCTCTCTGAACTGTTTCTCCGCCTCGTAGCCAAATGCCACAAAGTCGTTACTGATCGTCAGTAAGAGAGAAGTTGGAGTTTTAGGAGATTCCAGTAGATCTGAGGAATGAGTCTTCCATTTTCCCGGGATTACATCTAATTGACTGTCTTTCATGGAAAAGGCAAACCCAGAGTATGCTGTCCCAAAGTCAATTGCAGCAACAACTTGCCAGGTCCCTATAAATTAACAGAAAGATGTGTCAGAAATTATTACTCAAAATAAAACCATGTTGCAAACATCAGATCACAAGGATGCACGGTATTTGGCATGCCTCATTATGATTATGGTCATTATGGTTCTGATGTTCTTCTGGAGATATCTTCCTTCATATATGCAAGGTAAAAAAAGCTGGATCCTAGATTCTGGCTTAACTCTTACCCCAACAACTCAAAATTCATTTAATAAAAAACTATGATTTAAATTCAAAATTAGGAAACAATTTAGGTATGTTGTCCCAACTTGTATAGTGTAGTGTGCTGTTGAAAAGATTTCTTCCTATATACACCCTTTTAAAACTCTAGCTGACTCCACAACCTATTTCAGAACTTCCTGATCTGAACAACGTTGAAACTTACTACCTGAGAACACTTGCACATCAATATAACTAATAATAACCTGAGAATACTTGCACATCAATATAACTAATAATGACTTTGCTGATAATTCTAAATACATCTATGGAAAAATTTTATTGCCTATTTGGCCCAGCCCTACCACCAGTGTCAATGATTTGAACTAAATCAATTCTACACTAGCCCCAATAATCTACTTCAATTAAATTCAAATAAGACCAACTGTGGTGTTGCTGTTCTGCAGAAAAAGAATTCTAAAATTGTCACTAATTTTTTCTATGATTCTTGATCATCTCCCATGATAAGAAGGTGTGACCCTTAAAATGAATCCCCGTCACACAAAAATGCTTTGGAGCAAGTATGAGTGATATTGGCTAAGTGGATTTGGAGAAGAAAAGTTTACCGTCAATACACGGCATATGGATTTTAGATGGGTACCTTACATTTTTCAATCAGGAAAGCTTTCATGACCTTTAAACTCAGTTGAGCTAAATATTGTTATCAATTAACAATCACAGCTTATAAGTAAAATAAAATGCCAAGAAAAGCACATACTTTTTTCCTCTGTTTGAATAGTCACTGGTATGCTCCTGTCTTTTCGGTATTGTCTTTGGTGTCTCTGTGGTGGATGCATCTTTCTTTGATGCACAACCTTAATAGGAGTGGGATAGAATCTTCTTAATGGCACTCCTCCTGTAAATATAAAATCAATAGACACCATGTGGCTGGTGTGGAACTTGTTCTTATTTTTATGCAATTACAAAAACAGTTATTTTTTCCTATCTTGAACAATGGATATGTGAAAAATCAAGTCCCAACCTACTCATTTTTTAAGTAATATTTTATTCTCAATGTCAAAAATTCTTGGATATCTTGATTTTTAGGAGAGGGAAGATGGGGTTCATTGAGTTTGAGATAATGTATCATTAAGACTATTTTCATTATCAGATTTTTCTTTAGCTAAAGAACATGATGATGAAATGGACTTGTAAGACTGAAACTAGAAGATCAGTTCTAAAGGAAAAACCCATTTGTGTATCTTTCTTTTTTTGTGCATCTGTTAAAAGAAAAAAATATATAGATTAAATATATTCTAAAGGAAAATAAAACATTCATCAATGATCAATTATCTCATAGACACAAAGTGGGTGAGACCTTTAACTAACTTGTGCTTTAATTGAAGTTGTATCCAGATTGGACAAAGGGGGGAAATATACCTAAAAGAAAAATTTTATGCAGAGATTTGCTATGACTGATTGTAATATACATTTTTGTACAAGGCCACTGCACATCCTTAATCATTGAGCATTCTTTGGGTGAAGAATAAGCCAAATAGGGCAAAAGGAGAAAACATTTGCTTTGCATTGGACATGAATTTTACAAAAGAATTTCTACATTTGCCTTTCTTTCTTTTTTTTTTGATGATTCCCCAAAAACTGGTTCAAGGTCAATTAACTCATGGTCACTGTGGATGAAGTTTAAGCCACACTGGGCCAACAGGAAGAAAATATTTTCTGGAAAATTTATATCAGATGGACAGACAAATGCTACAGGACATTGGAAAATGGGGCTTTAGGCAAAGTTGGCAATCATAATATATTTTTTAAGAAAAAAGTTTTCTATTTTAAATTAACTTAATATTTCATTCAAATGATGTACCATAAACCACTCCTCCTGTTACATAATACATCCTAGGCTCATAGACTGCACAGGTTTCACACATATCTACTTCCACATGTCTATACGGAGGATTATATCCTTCTGTAAAGAAAAAAAAAAAGAATATTGGTCATTCTATTCTTCAATATTTTTACTGGTTATCACCTCATTGTCCAAATGAACAGAGTTGCTGCATAAATAACCCTTTGCAACATTTTTTTAACCAAAATTGTTAACTTTTTAACAAAAAAAAAAAAAAGACAAACTTAACTCTTAAATATTACATATCTGTATTTGTTTTAAAATTTCAATATAGCTTTGAACTCACGATCATATCTTAAATCTTGTGGTTAATACTCTTAAATTATATTAAGTTCTTAAATTTACATTGATACTGACTATACGCCTCAGAAACAAAAGGCTTTTTTGTTAAAATAAAATAATGTTACATAAGTATTTGAGGAAATATGAAGTACTCACCTTTCAATGATGATGTATATTTACAGTCAAAGAACTCATTCTCTTTTAAAGCCTTCTTACTAGTGCTTGTGTCATGATCTTCAAAAAATAATAGTAATTTCACAATCAAATAAACAAAAAAAAAATGTAATAAACAAGTTTTCATTCACATGGTCATGGTAAATATTAGAGTTACCCTTTGTGCTTTCTACTATATCTGCATGGAATATATTGAAAAAATGCCCCTTTTCTCTGATTTCGAGGATCTTCTTTAGTACCAGCATGAGCCCGTCACTTTCAAACACAAAAACAAGGAAGCAGTATGCCCTCCCCCTCCTACTGAAGCCAGACTTGGGTCTGATGTTATCTGGTACAGGGTATCCACACTTAGTCAGGGTGTTCTCTATTATATGGGAGTCAATTTCCTCCAAAGCTTCATCAAAATGAAGAAGAATACATTTCCTGACCATCTCTGCAGGGAAGTTTTCAAAAACAATTTAATATCAAAATAAAAGCAAAATTATACATGAAAAAAAATATACACATTCAATTCATAATTTAGAAAAATATATATATACATGTTCACAAAATATTACAAGAAAACACCTCTTTTTCATGATTCGTACACAGAGAAAAAGCTTGGGTTTTTAGATGTGATGACTGTAACAATAAAGAAGTTGACAGTTGTGTCCCTTGTTTTCCTGAATGTTAGATGTGTCTACATTACCTGCTTCTTGGTGTGCGGTCTCCACATCTCCTGAAGCTAATTTTTCAGCAAGGTCAGTTTTATCCATTTGTTTTAGAAGTAGGACAAAATAATCTAACATGGAGGCACTGGATGACTTAAGGAGAGTTTGTAAAAGGGCAACAACTCTAGCTTTGCGTTCATCTGACTCCATAATACAGGTTTCATCCTTCTCAGTCATCAAACCTTTCTTCCTGAAGCATGTTAACATTAGACAGGGCTCCAGCTCTTCAATCAGTATATCCCACTTCTCTTGTATGTTTAGTTGAATCTTTTGATGAACATCTGATATGTCAGCTATAAAAAAATAATCAACAGTTTGATGATGATTCTTGAGTGATTTTACCAATACTTTTCAAAATCATCAGCTTAAAATTTATGAAAATGATTAAGATGGCTCATCTATACCATACACACAACCTCTTTTGTTGTAATCTGCCTCTGCATTCACTGTAACTTGTACATCCAATGGTTTCTTGGCTTGATACAAATCTTCTGAGAAGTCAACCAAGTCTAGCACAGTCGTGACCACTTCCTTGACTAACCGACCACCACCAGCCAGGAACCGCTGCCCCGCCTCCTCAGTCAGGGAGGTCAGGTGGAGGACAAGAAAGCCCTCAGCCTTGTCGATTTTCATGTGAGTGAGCTGTGAGAGTCTACTGCGTAGTTCTGTATCCCGATTTAAAAATCTAATGGCCTCTGCCACTTTGTCTTGATCGACTTTCTCAGGAATGGATATAGTAAGGACTAACTTTGTAGGGAGTTTTCCTATATTGTAGCAAAATAAATTGAAATAGTCTAAGTTATTACAAAGTCTTAATCTTTTAGCTTATTTCTTAAATACATTTACATTGTGGAGATATTGTAAATCACTATTTGTGAGAACATTATTTGTTTGTGTAAATGCAGTATACTGGCTCCTCATGAAAATTGGATATACTGTATACAGGGAAATTTTCGCCACCGTTTAATTTTCGCCCCATTCGCCCTCGTCTGAAGTGGGCGAATTTAAAACGGGGCGAATTCAAAGTAAACAGTATAATATCTTAAAAAAAATCTTTTTGGGCGAATTTAAAACGGGGCAAACTTCTTTCCGAATGTGATAGGGCGAAAATAAGACGGGGCGAAAATAACCCTGTATACAGTATTTGTATTCTTAAAGATAAAAAACAATACTGTATACAGGGTTATTTTCGCCCCCGTGTTATTTTCGCCCTTTTGCACTGGCAAACTATTTTGCCCCATTTTATATTCGCCCAGTCATTGTTTTGTTTTAGAAATTATGCTGTGTAATTTGAATTCGCACCATTTTAAATTCACCCAATCAGGAAGAGGGCGAAAGGGGCAAAAATAAAACGGGGGCGAAAATTTCTCTGTATACAGTAATTGGATTCATGACAAATTTTATCTTGCTTAGAAAGATCCAAATAAATAACTATAAGTAAGGTGTCTGATACATGCAAACCTTCATAAACAGACTGAATCCCTGCTTCCTCTGGCTTCACCATAATGAATCCTTTATCCTCTTTACCTTCAAAGAAAAATATTTAAACTTGTGGTCTCTGTGAATTTGAACTAAAACAGAGTACATGTATACTTTATTCCTATAATATATACCATATATACCCGCCTATAAGTTGGTCTGCCTGTAAGTCCATTGTATTTTTTAAGCTTATGTTAAAAAGATTGACCTTCTAAAATACCAATCATTTTATATCTCGCCCATAAGTCGGACAAAGAGTTTTGGACCAAAGTTTAAAATTAACTCCCAAAAAGCTGACTTATAGGTGAGTATATATGGTAAATATGTCTAAAATGTCACCTGTATTTTGGAATTCTATGAAGTCCTCAAAGGGTGATTCGTTCCCTTTCAGTTTTCTTATTACTGCCTCCCATTCCAGCTCCTCTAGACAATGTCCAAATTTGTTGAGATTTGATTCTGACTCCAGGTCAAGGTTTTCTATTAGCCGTACAATATCCCTGGCTTGTTGTTCTCTTGAAGATTCCCGTTTTATTTTTTCCATTTCATCCACATCAACAATTTTCTCCTCAATCAAGATTTTACAAAGTGGAATTGGTTCCACCTCATTAACCAGGAACTCAAAATTGGAATTTCTATACAGACATTCTCGATCAACCAAAAAATGGCATTTTCTTCCTAAAAGTAAGTGATATAAAAAATATTATCATTATAAACATAATCATGGTATCTGGTTCTTGTACTAACATGTTCTAAATCACATCTTTCTTTCACAATGTACAAGAGGCCCAAGGGCCTCGAATCGCTCTTCTGATAAATTGTACAACCTATCACTTGTATTTGTAGCCTCTAACCCTAAGTATCCTAAAACCTAAGCTGCATCATCTGATAAAAAGTTTGATGATTCTTAGCCAATTAGGACTAGGATATTTTAATAAAGCTATAAAAAAAAAAAAAACCATGAGTAGGTCACGGTGACCAACTTTAAGATTGAAGTTTTCTGAGGACTCAAGATGCATTAATAGACAAACTAAGATTGAAGATTCTAAGCCAATATGTATTTGAGATATTCAAAAGTAGGTCACCATGACCTACTTTTTGGTCTACATTCTTGGAAAACCCAAGATGCATTAACTGACAAAGTTTGATGATTCTAAGCCAATAAGTACCGGAGATATTCAAAAGTATGTCACAGTGACCTACTTTTTGGTCGACATTCTCTGAAAACCCAAGAGGCATAAACTAACAAAGTTTGATGATTCTAAGCCAATAAGTACCGGAGATACTTAAATATAGCCATAAAATGTCAAAAGTAGGTCACCGTGACCTACTTTTTGGTCAACATTCTCCGAAAACCCAAGATGCATACACTGACAAAGTTTGATGATTCTAAGCCGATAAGTACTGGAAATACTTAAATATAGCCATTAAATGTCAAAAGTAGGTCATCGTGTCCTACATTTTGGTTGACATTTATCAGAGGCCTAAGATGCATCTGCTAACCAAGTTTGATAATTCTAAGCCAATAAATACCTGAGATATTCAAAAGTAGGTCACTGTGACCTACTTTTTGGTCGACATTCTCTGAAAACCCAAGAGGCATAAACTAACAAAGTTTGATGATTCTAAACCGATAAGTACCAGAAATACATAAATATAGCCATTAAATGTCAAAAGGATGTCACCATGACCTACTTTTTGGTCGACATTCTCCGAAAACCCAAGATGCATCAACTGACAAAGTTTGATGATTCTAAGCCGAAAAGTACTGGCGATACATAAATATAGCCATAAAATATTGAAAGTAGGTCACCGTGACCTAATTTTTGGTCGTCACTCTCCGAAAACCCAAGATGCATCAACTCACGAAGTTTGATGATTCTAAGCCAATAAATACCTAAGATACTGAAATATAGCCATAAAATGTCGAAAGTAGGTCACAGTGACCTACATTTTGGTCGACAAAAGTCCCAAGATGCATCAGCTGACCAAGTTTGATGATCATTGGTCTGAAGGTAATCAAAATATGCCTTTTAAACAATTTGAAAACAAATGCCTGCAAAATTGTAAAAGTAGGTCACAGTGACCTACTTTTACTTAAATATGTTTTAAGGTCCCAAGATGCAGCAACTTACAAGATTTGATGATTCTAACCCTCTCAGTGTCTGAAATAATGGGATGAAATGTTTTAAAAAGGATAAGTCATAAAGTTCAAAAAGTAGGTCACGGTGACCTACTTTTAAGTTGACGTTGTTCAAGGACCCAAGATGCATCAACTGACAAAGTTTGATGATCATAGGCCTTAAAGTGTCCTAAATATGCCTTCAAATCAATTTGTAAACAAATGCCCGCAAAATTAAAAAAGTAGGTCACCGTGACCTACTTTTGAGTTAACATGATGAGAAGTCCTAAGATGCATCTACTTACAAGATTTGATGATCCTAGTCCTTATAGTAAGCAAAATATAGACATTTTCATTAACTGTAAATTTAGGTCAACTTTGAAGTGACCTTGAGACCACGCCCTTTGCCCCAGGGTCATGCCTTGAACAATTTTTAATCTTCAACATATCCTGATCATTGTATGTAAGTTTGGTGAAAATCTGCCTGGTGGTTCTGGAGAAGAAGATTTTTTTGCAACCAGTACTTTTGGTTTTGTTTTCCTGATTATCTCCCCTTGTTTTAGGGTCCCAACCCTTATTTTAGTATAAATGGTAGCCCTTGGGCCAAGGATACCCTGTGACAAATTTGACACTGATTGGCCAAGGGGTTCTTGAGTTATGGCCTATATTCTAAAAAGTTAATGCACACCGCACGACGCACACCGCACACCGCACAAATGGCCATAGCATTAGCTCTTTGAGCCTTTGGCTCAGAAGAGCTAAAAATGTGGGTTGAAATTCTTAGTAAGTAAATGAAACATTATTAAATGGAAATAAGGGGGAAGAATATGCATACTGACTGTATAAAGAATTAATTACCTTGCTTTTTTGGATGAATGCCTTTGATTTCATTCAGTGCTTGGAAACATTTTGATCTCTGCAGTGCATATCCCAACTTGTCCAGTACATCTGGGTATTTTTCAGGTAAGGACAACAGAACTTGACATTTTTCTTTCCTTTTACCAGCTCTTTCTACTTCATCATGTTCTTCTATTCTAATTACACAGCTCTCAAGGAGGATGTCGTTTATTAATGAAGGTTCCAACTCTTCCAATAAAATACCTCTATGATCCCAGAGAGAGCTTAATGTTAACTTGTCTTTTTCAGCATCAACTGAAAGAAAATATGTATTAAAAAACTGTTATTTTCTATTTTTACTGATTATACTGATTTAGAAACACATGAAAAATGTTTATTTTTTTCAAAATGAAACTTAAATATCAGCAAATATTTATTCCAGTAACAAAAAGTAATACTTTGTTCCTTCTTAATTTCCAATAAAATATGTGTATATTAATATTTTCCCCCTTATAATAAAGTGACTTATGTGTTAATGTATATTTACCATTTTTACCAATTTCCTTTTCCAGTTGCTCTGTGAACTCATTGAATAGTAGAGACTGCTTGAAAACATCTAAAAGTTCTTTGCATTTCTCAGATCCATTCCTTAGTATTGACTTAAGTTCCCTCCCTATACAGATGTATTCCTTTCCTTCTGTCAGTCCTTGTTTTTCTTCATCAGAAAGTTCTGACTTGACAAGCAAGTGATCAATTAACGCTTTCTCTTTGTGGATATTATCTCGCAGAAACAAAACACACTTTTGGAGGGATTCAACTGGCTTCTCTGGAAAAGAATAAAATCAAAATTTTAATCCATTTACAGCTATCAGAATTTCAATAAAATGTTGTAGGGGATTAACCTTTAGACAAATATATAATTATAGAACATACTCCTTATAAAGGTAAAAGGGAATAACCCCCAATTTTTAAGCTGCCAAAAATTCATTTATTTTTAAAGAATTTTTTCTTTCACTATAAATACAATTAAATTAAAATAAGAATTACATATTTTTCTCCAGTTGATAAAAACATGTTTAATAGATCTTTAGCAGGTCGTTATATCATTCAAATACCGTTTTCACTAAAGGATCCTTGAGCCATTTTCTTTCCTTCAGATAAGGTTTCGGACAATGTCCAAACACACTAATAGTTATCATTCTGTAGTGACATGTCTACCCACGATATTTTTGCCATGTATTTATCCATTTGAACATGCACACAAAGAATCCTACTGACAAAAGAATGCATTTGATCAAGATTTCTCTAACGATATGAACATCAATATCAGCAGTTTCTAAATTCTACTTTCGTTTTGATTTTCACCTCAAATTTTGTACTATGCACTGTGTGTTAACATGTATCCAAAGTATTTTCAGGTTTCACATAATGACAAATGTCGAAAACATCACAATTTTAAAATATTTTCCCATGCAAAAGATCCCAGATTACTATTTCAATTGATTTTTACTGTGCAAGATCTTGGACGACATTTGCAATCCTCGGCCAGATGATAACAACAAACAAATCGGGACACTTCGTCAATCCGATTGAAACTTCGTGTTATTCCGATGTTGTCTTTATTTTGGCTCGAAGAATCGAAGTACTGAAAGTATTCTAAGGACAATTAAAAAAACAGATGAATTAAAGTAAAAAAGAAAAGAAAAATGCAGTAACGTGTAAAATTTTTCCAATGATGTATCCATATTGTCTCATATTTGTCTGCAGAAAACTGTGCTGAATTTTTATTTTATTACATTATTTATTTATTTTTTTATCATGTTTATTCTGGCATTTTCAAAAATTTCTTGCATTCAATATTATTGCAATGATCTGAGCCCAAAATCATGCAGCTTCCAAAAATTCTTAACATTTTCTCTGTAAGCAATATTTTTTAGGTACATAAATCCCAGAAATCTGTTCAGCAGTTTGCTTTTAAAAATGAAAGAAAAAGTGAGCTAGCTCACATACCCCACGCTCCCCCAAAACTTGATGGTGAAACACAAAATGAAAGGCACAGTGCACTTTAAATACATAGTATAGATCAAAAAGGGCAATAATTGCAAAAACAAATCTTCACATCAAAATGTCTTACATATGAGGACATTTAAATGTGGAATATGAAGTTTCTAGATAAATAATGGAATCAAAATTTCTTGGCAAAATACAAATCCAAACATTAATTTGAAGTGGTTGGGGGGGGGGGTGAGAAATTTTCTTGAATAATAGGCAAAACTCTTTGGGATAAAAGAAACTATGTACAACAGTTCAAGAGGAGTGGTGCTGACAAACTGTTCGATCATCTCTATATTCAAAATATGCCCAAAAAGTCTAAGTTGGAAAGTGTGGAAATTCCCGGAAAAATAAAGGAATCGGAATTTCCTGGTAATATGCACATCATTCTACATATTATGTCCTAAATATCTGCAAAGTTTGACGAAATTCTGTGCAGTGGTTTATGAGGAGTTGCGCTGACAAACTGTTCATCTCTATATTCAAGGTATGGCCAAATGCCTAAGTTAAAAAGTGCGGAAATTCCCGGAAAAAATAATGGAATCGGAATTTCCTGGTAATATGCATATCTACACATTGTGTCCTAAATACCTGCAAAGTTTGACGAAATTCTGTGCAGCGGTCTATGAGGAGTTGCGCTGACAAACTGTTCATCTCTATATTCAAGGTATTGCCAAATGCCTAAGTTAAAAAGTGCGGAAATTCCCGGAAAAAATAAAGGAATCAAAGTTTACTGGTAATATGCACATCTACACATTGTGTCCTAAATACCTGCAAAGTTTGACGAAATTCTGTGCAGAAGTTTATGAGGAGTTGCGCTGACAAAAAAAGAGGACTGACTGACTGACTGACTGACTGACGGACGGGTCAAAAACATTATACCTCCCGCAACTAGTTGCGTGGGGTATAAAAAGTCTTTGAGATTAATTTATTCACCTTTCCATTTGAAACTATGTGCAGACCTTAAAGTGGCCATGCATGAAACACCTCAAATTCATCATCTGTTAAAATTTCCCCAAGTTTAGAATAAAGATTACCGGTATTTACAAATTAAACAAAAAAAGATATGTTTGTGAAACACTGCGCCCGGCAGCAACAAAGTTTGAAAAAAGCTTTTTTAGCATTTAGGTCACAGTCACAAGGTCATTGACCTTGGTGTCAAATGAAAGAACTTGATTAGTGGAGTATGCATACCAAATATGAAGTATAATTATATCTTTCATAGTTCAAAAGTTATGGCGAAGGTTCAAAAAGCCATTTTTAGCATATAAGCCACAGTCAAGATCACAAGGTCACTGACATGTGTGTATTTGTAAGAGCTTAATTATTGGAGTATGCATGCCAGATATGAAGTCTCTATCTTTCAAGGTCGTTCAAAAGTTATGGCAAAGGTTAAAGTTTGGAGACAAATATGCTATTTGTAGCATGAACTGGGTCACAGTCAAGTTATCAACATCACTGACCTTGGTATCATTTGAACAAGAGGCCCATGGGCCATATCGCTCACCTGAGCACCTTTGGTCGGCCAATATGGCCCCGCCCTACCCTGGGGGTCATGATTTGAACAAACTTGAATCTACACTACCTGAGAATGCTTCCATACAAATATAATCAATTATGGCTTGGCTATTCTTGAGAAGAAGATTTTTAAGGAATTTTCCTATATATTTCTATGTAAAAATTTGGTCGGCCATTGTGGTCCCGCCCTATCCCCGGGGGTCATGATTTGAACAAACTTGAATCTACACTACCTGAGGATGCTTCCATATAAATATGATCAATCATGGCTTGGCTATTCTTGAGAAGAAGATTTTTAAAGAATTTTCCTATATATTTCTATGTAAAACTTTGGTCGGCCATTGTGGCCCTGCCATACCCCCGGGGGTCATGATTGAACAAACTTGAATCTACACTACCTGGCGATGCTTCCATATAGATATAATCAATTATGGCTTGGCTATTCTTGAGAAAAAGATTTTAAAGAATTTTCCTAAATATTTCTATGTAAAACTTTGATTGGCCATTGTGGCCCCGCCCTATCCCCGGGGGTCATGGTTTGAACAAACTTGAATTTACACTAACTGAGGATGCTTCCATATAAATATGATCAATTATGGCTTGGCTATGCTTGAGAAGAAGATTTTTAAAGAATTTTCCTATATATTTCTATGTAAAACTTTAGTCAGCCATTGTGGCCCTGCCCTACCCCCGGGGGTCATGATTTGAAGAAACTTGGATCTACACTACCTGAGGATGTTTCCCTTTAAGTTTCATCTTTCCTGGCACAGTGGCTCTTGAGAAGAAGATTTTTAAAACATACCACCAAATTTTCATTAATTCCCAATTATCTCCCCTTGAATGAGGGCGTGGCCCTTCATTTGAACAAACTTGAATTCCCTTCACCCAAGGATGCTTTGTGGCAAGTTTGGTTGAAATTGGCCCAGGGGTTCTTGAGAAGAAGTCGAAAATGTGAAAAGTTTACAGACAGACAGATGGACAGCTAGACAGACGGACGCCGGACAAAATGTGATCAGAAAAGCTCACTTGAGCCTTCGGCTCAGGTGAGCTAAAAAGGTAATGTTGGGAAAAAAAAGTGCCACCCCCCTCCCTGTTGCAACGTGCCTGAGTAGGGCGACGGGGCCATATGGAGTTATGGTATAAAATTGAATTGCTGGGATAGGATACAATATTTATAAATTAAAACTATGCAATAGGCTGAAAACACCTTTTGTAGCAGGGGCCAAGCCAGAAGTTGTCTGTTGGTTCCTTATACCTATCCTCACAAATTCAAACCCTCAGTTTGGTAATCTGTTTTTCCTCTCGAGTGGGGTATGCACACCAAATAATGAGTCTCTATCTTTCATTGTTCAAAAGTTATGAGGAAGGTTAAAGTTTGCAGGCAACAGACAAACAACCAGATAAACAGACCAACAGATAGGCAGACAGGACAAAAACAAAATACGCCTCGGATTTATCGATTTAGCGCTGTCTGAATAAGCTAGTTATGAAAGTTATTAAACAAAACATTTAGTGATGTACTTGAATTAGCGGACTCTGCTTTCCGCCAAAATCGCTAAATAGAATACACCGCTAAATGTATAATAATATGCTTACAGTGATCATTAGAGCCCCATCCTAACACCAGAACCCCTGACCCTGAGGCTATGGAATTCCTAATGTTTGAAGAGATATCCTAAATGCTCGTCAAAACTTTGTGTGTTAAGTTTGTTCATTATAACCAGGAGCAGAGAAGATTTTCAAAGAAACTAGAGGTACTTTGAGCAATGAGCTCACTAAATGATACCCCCCGCCTCCCATATCGTTATAACTGATGACAAAGTCCATGTTTTGCCGTGGCCGGGAAACCCAAAATATGTGTCTGATCAAAAAGTAAAATAGGAGGTGCACAATGGCAATATGTAATAAAGATTCTGTGAAAGTTTCATTAAATTTCACTCAGTGGTATAAGAGGAGTTGCGGATAAGAGATGGGTACCCTAAAGCGTAACAGACGGACGGACGGACGGACGGACGGACGTACAGACGGACGGAATTAACGATTACTATATACCCTCCCGCTTTTCAAGCGGGGGGTATAATAATAATGCAATATGTTCACTATATAAGCAATAGCATTCTATCCTAACAGTGACCAGAGCCTCTGACCCAATGACCATGAAATGCACAATTTTGGAAGAGTCACCCTTACTCATCATAACTTAATATGTATAAATGTAGTTAGTTTGTTTAAAAATACTCAGGAGCAGAGAAGATTTTCAAAGAATTTGCACTTTCACTATGATATCTATAGTAACTGTAACACAGCCATATCCTAGCACTAGAACCACTGGCCATGGGGCCATGAAATTCACAATTTTGGTAGAGGACTCAATACTTATTACAATCATGACAACAGTTTGATTCTTTGATGTCCAGGGGTAAAGAAGATTTTTTTTAATGATAGCAATAATTTTGATGGTTTAAGCTCCACCCTTCCTGTCCCAGTAAGGACCATGACATTCACAAATTTTGTTCCCCTTCACCCTTAGTTATCATTTGCTAAAATTAGCTGAAATTGGTTCAGCTGTTTAAGAAAAGAATTAAGCTGAAAATATTCAAATCTTAACACATGACAAAGGAGGAAAACGGATAGCAATAGGTCACCTGAGTGACTCAGATGACCTTAAAAGGTACAATTTATGGT